GGGTGGTAGTAGCAAAATTAAGGTGGTAGTAATTTATTTTTGGGTGGTAGTAGCAAAGTTAAGGTGGTAGTAGTCTATTTTTGGGTGGTAGTATTTTATTTTTGGGTGATAGTAGCAAAATTAAAGTGGTAGTAGTCTATTTTTGGGTGGTAGTAGCAAAATTAAGGTGGTAGTAATTTATTTTTGGGTGGTAGTAGCAAAGTTAAGGTGGTAGTAGTCTATTTTTGGGTGGTAGTATTTTATTTTTGGGTGATAGTAGCAAAATTAAAGTGGTAGTAGTCTATTTTGGGTGGTAGTAGCAAGATTAAGGGTAGTAGCAAAGTTAAGGTGGTAGTAGTTTATTTTTGGGTGGTAGTAGCAAAATTAAAGTGGTAGTAATTTATTTTTGGGTGGTAGTAGCAAAGTTAAGGTGGTAGTAGTCTATTTTTGGGTGGTAGTATTTTATTTTTGGGTGATAGTAGCAAAATTAAAGTGGTAGTAGTCTATTTTTGGGTAGTAGTAGCAAAATTAAGGTGGTAGTAATTTATTTTTGGGTGGTAGTAGCAAAGTTAAGGTGGTAGTAGTCTATTTTTGGGTGGTAGTATTTTATTTTTGGGTGATAGTAGCAAAATTAAGGTAGTAGTAATTTATTTTTGGGTGGTAGTAGCAAAGTTAAGGTGGTAGTAGTCTATTTTGGGTAGTAGTAGCAAAATTAAGGTGGTAGTAATTTATTTTTGGGTGGTAGTAGCAAAGTTAAGGTGGTAGTAGTCTATTTTTGGGTGGTAGTATTTTATTTTTGGGTGATAGTAGCAAAATTAAAGTGGTAGTAGTCTATTTTTGGGTGGTAGTAGCAAAATTAAGGTGGTAGTAATTTATTTTTGGGTGGTAGTAGCAAAGTTAAGGTGGTAGTAGTCTATTTTTGGGTGGTAGTATTTTATTTTTGGGTGATAGTAGCAAAATTAAAGTGGTAGTAGTCTATTTTTGGGTGGTAGTAGCAAGATTAAGGTGGTAGTAGCAAAGTTAAGGTGGTAGTAGTTTATTTTTGGGTGGTAGTAGCAAAATTAAGGTGGTATTACTTTCAACTAGTCTCAAAAAGGAAATTTTCAATTTGGTCAGTAAAATAGCACCTAATTATAAATTCTAGCATTGAATATAAATCGAACATGTCTGCAGTGCGTAGAGTTTCAGACTACGAACCGAGGATTCAGAGTTCGAATCCGGGTCAGGGCAAGGACTTTTTTATTTTATTTTCGTTTATATTCTGATAGTAAAGTATTAAATAATTCTGGTGATTAAAAAAACACAAATATTTAATACTTTACTATCAGAATATAAACGAAAATAAAATAAAAAAGTCTTTACCCTGACCCGGATTCGAACTCTGAATCCTCGGTTCGTGGTCGGAAACTCTACGCACTGCGCTATGGGGACATGTTCGATTTATATTCAATATACTAGAATTTAAAGGACTAATAAAAATATAGGATCTTCTTTCAATGCGCAGTAGGGAACGCAACGTTCACCGGTAGCCAGACGGGCCGCATGCTGTTCTAGAGAGCATAGTAAAATATACATCAAAGAGCCAGACGTCTTAAAATTCTTGTTTTTCTGACGTTGCTAGCTCTCGTACTATAATAACGATTTTCAATTCGAAGTATCGAAGCAATATTTGACGCATTTTTTATGGTATAGTACATCAAAATCAATTTACTTGTAATTAAAACGAGATGTATTAATAAACAAAATATTTGAAAACGTTAATTAACTTTTTATCGACCGGAATGTTTCTACTATTACGAACCTATTAAACTATCATGATGCTTAAGATCTAATACATTAAAAATATCACTGTGTAAACAAAATAACGTTAACACCTAGTGTATTCAGGTTAATCACACCTAAATAGATTTTTTTGAATTCGAAATCTGGTTTTCGATGTAAATTACAACATTCTAGAAAGACAAAAAATAGATCTCGCCATAAATTAAATCTAACGTTTCGTTTAATAATAAAGTGAACTCATTTATTAAATCTTTAAAGTTTAAAGTTTACTGCCTTTTTATCGGGATATAAATCGCTAAGTATGACGCATGCTAATTTTGAGCAAGGGATTTACATAAAATTATAATATTATTAATTCGAGGAATTGAAGACAATAGATCAAAAATTTAAACATTTTAGCACAGCTATATAATTTTAAATTGACAATCCATATAATGAATTTAAGAAATCATATGTTCATTTATTTTTGATTAATCTTAAATTTACAGTTAAAACCTATGACATTTGTCATCTTTTATAATGAAATTTAATATTTTATTGTATTTTCAAAAACAAACAAATAACAATGTTTTATAGTATTTTTGTCATAGCAGGTATAAACTAAAAAGTTACAAAATAAATGTAGGACACTATACTGTTGAGGGCACCAAAATGTATATGATAATACAGGGAGTCACACAGACATGACAAAATGTTATAAAATATATATATACCGGGGGCGTCTCCAAAGTGGCTCACCCCCTATAACTTTTTTATTATTTCAGATACACAAACGAGATTTGGTATGTTAGTATATGACATAAAATAATAGGTTTGTTCCAACCCCGCTGAGAACCGTTCAGGAACGGTTCCGTTCATGCGCATAGAGCTAAAAGTGTTCCAACCTTGATGGGGATCGTTCTCGAACGATTCTCTTTGCGTTCCAACCAATTTTCTGATCGTTATTAGAACGGTTTCGGAACCGTAATTTCGATACTTGCCAGTACAGTTGTACAAATATAGGAAGAGACTTGGGGATAGCACCGGTCGCGTGTTATTTTATATTTCTCACGTCTCTAGCTATACTTGTTAAGCTGTAAGTTGGAACTGTTTGTACTGACATGCGCAGTTAGTAAATTTTATCAGCTGATTGACATTTGGGCCGGGGCATTTGCTTGTTTTGTTTTGTGGATTTGTTTCGAGTTTAATGGGTTTTAGTGTTTAGAATTCGTTCTATACTTAGAAATTGTCTATTTAATTTAGCTAGTGTTTAACATTTTACAATTCACACTTTTCAACAAAAAAAGGAATAGTAAACCAAGTGAAACTTACCAAAATTATGGTTTGTGTCCATTATTTATTAATGTAAGTAGTAATTTACCACTTTTTACAGTTTCCACTGTTCTATACAATTAATAAGAATATCTGTGAAGAATATTACTAAAGTTTGTTTTGTTTACATCTTACATCAAACAAAAAGTGAGGTTATTTTAACCGGTGTTTTGACAAGACAGATTAAAAACGATTCCGAAACTGTTCCAACCGATTGTCAATCTAGAATCGTTCAAAAACAGTGCCGAGTTAACGCATGCGGATAAGACTAGTCCCAATGATTTCGGAACGGTTCCAGAACCATTCTAAAACTTGGGGTTGGAACAAACCTAATATTGATACGTATTTATTTGTTTTTGGTCACTTCCTGTTTCACCGGAAATGACTACAACTTTTGATTTTTAAATGGCACCCTCGGTATTTTTTTACTTTATTCGATAGAAAATGACATTCTGAATAGAATGACGTATCATATGTCAACTTTTGACATTCTCTCATAATAAAAAATCATATTTTAAAATTCAATCTAGAGTGTCATGGCTTTATTAACCCTTAACTGGTCCGGTAATAGATATGTATCATAAACGGTCTGGCGTAGTCTGTGGGACTACGCCTTCTAAAAAGTGAAAAAACACACAAAAACTAAAAAATAACAAATTTTTATTTTATTATATATTATATTATGTATTATTGAACTAATATACTATTAATATAAACTTTAAGAAAATATAGTACAAAATAAAATAACATACATATAAATTTGAAAAAAAAAACAATTAGATTTTTACTCAGCTCTAAAAAATAAAACCAAATTACTAACAGTCATTACAATACAGAAATATGTTTTTAGTACTATATATAAAAAAATAAGCTATAAAACTGAGATTAAAGAAAAGGCTTTTAGTTACAGCATGAGGCAAAGTTCATTGTTTTCCTGAACATGTGTTACAAAATGGATTTGTACATTCTAGGCATTAAAAATAATTAAACTAGGACATAACATTGTCTTTAACTAGGATAAGAACTCTGGGATAAGAATATCGCCGTGAGCGTGTTCTGGTTGTACAGGAATTGCAAATATTCTACCAATTGTAAAGTCTATTTCTCTTGGAATATTGGACATTGTCAAACGCATTTGTCTGGCAGATTGTCATATTGTCACTGTCACAGTCCTCATCATATCATTTTAATAGAGTATCTTCAAAACTAGAGTCTCCTAAACGCACTCTTTTCGAAGGCCCGGCCATATTTTACAAAAGTTTGTCAAACACAAAATCTTACACAAACGGTCCGGCGTCGTCTGAGAGACTACGGCTTAAGTATCTTCTGCCATAACTTCTAAAAAACTACTCCAGTTTGGGCATAAATATGGCTATCAGTAGTTGACCGAGAGGGGGAGGATTAGCTGGAACGCCAATTGTGTGGGCGGTCCCAGTAACTAATGAGAATGAGTTAATTATTTGGCGTAGTCTGTCAGACGACGCCGGACCAGTTAAGGGTTAAAAACACCAATTCTTAATCAAGGAGCCTTGGAAAAATATATTTGATCGTCTAATGTTTTTAGTGTCTTGTCCCGACCAGTTGCACAAAAATCGTGCAGAAAATGCACAAATCGTATTTTTAATCATATCTCAATTTTTTTTCCGGTGAAACCGGAAGTGACCGAAAACAATTGAATACGTCAATCAATGCTATTTTATGTCATATACTAACATACAAAATTTCGTTTTTTTAACTTAAAAAATAAAAAAGTTATAGGGGTGAGCCACTTTTGAGACGCACCCGGTATACCCTTTTAAAAGATTACTGCCATAAGGAAAAGAACCAATTTAGAGAAAGGTGTAAAAGAAAGTCAAATACTATTACTAATTATTAGCATTAATTATTTTTCTCGTACTTGAGCTGGGAAAATATAAACCCAAAAAGCGTCAGTTTTCAAATAAATGTATTACAATAGTAACTTTATACACTTTTTACATAACAATAACACAATATTTGACAAATTTGAAACAATAAAAAAAATAAAGATTACACTTATACAATTTGAAAGACTAACTTTTAGGCAAGTTAAGGAGCGTACGTGAAAATTACAGTTATAGAAAAAAACATAGAATAGGACGATCGGTATGACGTTTAGTGCGTTAAAATGAAAAATCCTTTGGTAAACAAACTATTAGTTTCCTTTCGACCTGTATACGTTTCGAAAATCATTTAAAAATCGTAATAAAAACAGCAGGCTAATCGCTAGACTTTTCGCTGAGGTTTTTTACTTGATTTTCCTAAAGAGTCGTTTTCGGAACCGGAACTATGTAGACCTTTTGGATTCCTGCCGTTACTCCTGGCTTGTGATCTGTTATAATCCCTATGCTCGTCGTAAGGGCTATAAGTCCTCATAGATGGAGGTGATGCGCCATATTCTGAATCGTATATAGGCGACGGACTTCTTTGGTCATACCTGTGCATTATAAAATAATACTCTTTAAACATTTTTCGTCTAAAATAGATAGAGAATATCTTAACAATATCAGATTCGCTAATGATATACTCCTAATTGCCAATAGTCCTGAATAGTTCAGAAATTGGGGATTTTTGCTTGGAAAAAAGTCCGGAAGTTTTGAAACTTTTTGTTGCAGGTTTATAGGTTTTGGGGTCCCTAATTAAAATCAGTAAAATGCACATTTCCAGACTTGCCGCCGGCGCCGCCATCTTGCCAAGATGGCGCCCAAAATCGGTATTTTGTAAATATCTCGAAAACTATGCGTTTTTCGCAAAAAATTGAGGAGAGCAAAATTAAAGAGAATAAAATTTCCTATAAAAAAGGTTCTATGAAAATGTTCGTTAAGTCAACCGTTTAGGCACAAAATCCCTGGAAATTTAACAATTTTGTGTAAAAAACGATACCTACAGTGGTGGCCAAAAGTATGGAAACTTTTTTAATTTGTCATTTATGCTGAGAAATTAAAATATGAAATAAAACGACTTATATAATCGTGACCTACAAATAATTTCCTACAAAACCTAATACATTTAAATAAAAAATTACAGCTATCAAAAAATATATAAAAAATTATGAATATTTTCTTGGTCAAAAGTATGGAAACTTAAGAAGAATGTTTATTAAAATTCAAGATAATATAAAATTACTAATATTTAGTGGAATATCCCTTTGAATTAATTACTTTCTACATCTTCGTGGCATCGAATCGATCAATCTCGTACAATCTTTACTGGAAATGGCCGCCCATTCAGTTTTTAGCACTTCCCATAATTCATTTTTATTTGAAATAGAATGGCTTCTGAATTTTGCTATCCAAATGGTCCCATAAATTTTCTATGGGGTTAAGATCCGGAGACTGTGAGGGCCAATCCATTAATGGAACATTATGTTCATTTAACCAATTTTGAACAAACCGAGATTTGTGCTTGGGATCATTGTCTTGCTGGAACAACCATCTGAGTGGCATTTCTTCATCAGCATGAGGCAGCATATTTTTCTCCAATATGTCTTTGTACAAAAAACGGTCCATTATCCCATCAATTTTAACAAGAGGACCAACACCTGAGCGAGAAAAACACCCCCATACCATTATACTCCCACCCCCATGTTTTACTGTGGGCATCTGGTATTTATGGCTGTATCGTGTACCTTTTGGTCTTCGGACATAACGTCTCCCGTCACTACCAAACAGTTGAAACTTGCTTTCGTCGCTAAACAGTACAGTATTCCATTTCTGATAAGACCAGGTGAGATGATCTTGAGCAAATTTAAAGCGGGCCATCCTATTTTTCTTTGATATTAGTGGTTTCTTCACCGCAACTCTTCCAAAAAGTCCCATGTCATCCAACCTTCTTCTCACCGTGCGTGCAGACACCGATATTCCCCTTTCACACATTTCTCGAGAAATGGCTGTGGATGTTTTTCTTGGATCTCCCATTGATATTCTCTTCATTACTTTCATTGTCCTGTAGCACAACTTTCTTGGTCTTCCTGACTTAAAAGCTGTTGAAACGTTCCCTGTTCTATTAAATTTACGAATTATTTTCGAAACGGTGTCTTTTAAAATGTTTAAATTTTTACTTATTTGAATTTGTTTATAACCGCTCTTGTATAATTCAACTAATTTATTTTTTAAATCCGTAGAGAAATATTTAGACTTGGGCATGATGTTTATATTTATCTGAAGCAAATCGTACCGTTTATCAGCTTAAACTAAATAATTTTAATGTATTTATTTATGGTTTCCATACTTTTGGCCACAAGAAATCTATAGTTCTCCTACAAAAACTGCTAAACAGATTTTTTTTCCATACTTTTGGCCACCACTGTATATGTATAGTCGATTTTCCGAAATCAAATGTCGATTAGGGTTCACTAAAACTAGTTTTAGTTTAGTTTCTTCAATTTTGTCATAAAACAGTGGCGTATCATTTTTCGCTCATTAATTTATGAATAATTAATTTTGATTATTGAAAATGTGTACTTGTTTCCACACCACCCAACAGGTAAAGTATATGGCGCGTTTATTTTAACGTGGTCTCCCCGGAGGCCTACTCCATTCGATAAATTTAAAACTTTAACTTATCTGCACAAACCCGACGGACCTGGCTCTTGATGTCAAAGTCGATCGTGTCTGCTGTGCTGGGCTCACCAGGGTGGTCTCTCAATTCGTCCAACTCTTCATCTTCAGCCGCCAGAGGGATATCTACAGGCAAGCCCAACTCCTCTTCATCAAATTCGTCGAGTTACACTTCAGTGACGTTGTCACATGATTTCCCATTGCAGTATGCACAAATCATTGAACATTTTAATCCTGCTCTTCTGCATCAGCAGGCATTACCACAGTTGTTGTTGGTTTTGCATTTGCAGGATAAAATGCCAATAGGGACTTTGGAGCTGGATCTGTCAACGTTGTGACTGGAGTAATGCCTGTTTTTGTTTTCTTCCAACCCCATTCTTCGGCAACTTTGGTACAACCAGACCAATGCTGAACCTGGTGGTAGAATTTTAGAATTTAGAATTTAGAATGAGTGGGAGGGGGGTTAATCACTTCGACCTTACAGATCCATTGTGTCCCCCTTTCTTGAATCATAACTCATCATACCGTCCCAGGGCTTTGACAAAAGCCAGTATCTGGGACGGTTTTATAGAGGGTAGTTCTCCATCTCCAATATCAGTCGTACCAAAATTCATGGCACGAATGGTTGTCGTCTCGGCGCACTCAGTGATGAGGTGTACTGGTGTTTCCCCATCTTTCCCACAGAATCTGCATTCGCCGTTTCTTCTTAGTTTCAATCTACTGAGGTGTCCATTGAGGAGACAGTGTCCTGTTAAAAACCCCGTGACAATCCGAAGATTGTTCTTACTCAGACCCAGGAAGATCTGTGATTTTTCTTGATCATAAGCCCTCAGAAACTTCTTCGAGTGTCTTAGACCATTGCAAGATTTCCATTCCAGGTTGCGGATGGAATCTTCCAAGTTCTTGAGTTTCCAAGTTACCACTTGGAAAGCAGAACGGTTCTGGTCCAGTTAGTGGAGTGTTCGCTCCTTTCCTAGCTAGATTATTTGCTTTTTCATTGCCTTCTATCCCTTGGTGAGCAGGCACCCAGTGTAGGAGGACTTTGTTTTCTTTGCCTAATTTATTCAGCTTCTCTATGCATTCTTTGACCAATTTCGAATCGATTGATACTGAGTTGATCGCCTTTAACGCTGCTTGACTATCAGATAAGATGGCTATTTCTTGTGTCCGATAGTTCCTATCTAAGATAAGTTGTACGCATCTCTCGATAGCGTAGATTTCTGCCTGTAGGATACTAGGGCCCATTGGTTCGGAGTAATTAGCTCTCGGCCCAAACACTCCGATCCCTGTTCCCGTATTGGATTTGGAAGCATCAGTATACCAAGTTATGGTATGGTCTTTTAACTGATGGGCAAGCGTTTCGCTCTTCCATCCTTCTTATTGCTCAATACTACATTGACATGTTTGTCAAAGTTGTACGTTCTTGGCATATCGTCCACTGGGAGTTGCAGGAGTGGTATTTCCTTTTTGAGGGTGTTCCAAGCCCCTGATCTGACAATTCTCCCAGTACTAATTCCGTTAGTGACCATTCTAATCATTGTCGCATTGGCATATCTACTGGTGGTAAGTTCGCAATGAATGCTGTCCAGCACGACAATTAATTATTCATAAATTAATGAGCGAATTAATGATACGCCACTGTTTCATGACATAATTTCATTTATATTCTTTTTCTTTCTATCTTGTAATCCTCCTAAAATTTTATATAAAATAATCCAATAATGAATACATCACTATTCTGTACGTGGCGACACTAACGAAAGCTGACACTACCATTGTATAATGTCATTTAAAAAAAGCTCTGTTTAGAGAGAAAAAATTTAGAAAAAAAACAACAAGTAGTTTCCGTTTGGGATTAACGCAGAGGGTTTTACAAAAAATAACTATTAAATTTTGTAGATTTTCTTGCAGTGGCGAAATACCCATAGAGGATTTTTTGGAGAGATGAATCTGCCACATAGATATAGACATTTTTTAAAATTTAGAAAAATGCCTAAATAACGTAATAACCTAATAACGTATTTATAGATAGTATAATCCCACAATAGAAGGTATGCCAGTGACAGTTGTATACTCGTTGTATTTTCTGTCAAATCTGTCGAAATCGTTCATTCTCTCGTTGGATATACTTCAGATATTAGGTTTGTTCCAACATAGCAGAGAATCGTTCTTGGTATGATTGCGCTTATGCGCAGTAGAGAAATTCTGTGTTGGAACAAACCTATTAATTGCCAAATAGCAAATAAATAAAAAGAAAATTTACCTATCGTATTCGGAATACACAGTCGATTCCGGCGTATACCTACCACCAACAGGCGGTGGTGAACTCATTCTCCCTAGAGGAGGAGGTCTATGATCACCTATATCAGGAAAAAAGCAATTAATTCTTTTATTAAAACGATATATTCATCAAAAAAAAATTCTAAGTTACCTGGGAATAATCCATGAGGTAAGGGAGGCATGAACGGAGGCATCATCCCTTCCAGCGGCGGGGGTGGCATGAAGGGTGCCGCTCCCAGGGGCGGTGGAAGAAAATGTGGCATGCCCGGAAGGGGAGGCGATGTCGTGAGATGGTCTCGAGGATTGAAAATGGGAGGGGGAGACTGCGTTGGGTCCAAGGGTGGTGGGGATAATGGTAGTTCGCCGTTCTGATGTAAGGGAGACTGCATTCCTGAAACAGAGTAATTTTTGCTGATATACAGTGTGGTTCATCAAAAGACGAGATTTATAAATTTTGAGGATGCCAAAGATTTTTGTCAATAATTTTTTTTTAGATTGACAAATACTACAAACCATTTAAAAAAGTATAGGGTTTTAAAACAAAAAAAAAGTAGAATTCTTCAAAAATTCTCTCTATTTTTATTAGATGGTTGTTCAAATTTTAACCTTTCTCGCGCTAAGCAGACAGATACTTTGCCATATTAATTCCAATATCTTTTTTACTATACAGGGTGGTCCGAACTGTATTCAGGAAATTTCAGCATCATATTCTGCAGATAAAAATAAGTGGAGTTCGTGTAAATGTATGTCCTAAAATGCTCAGTTTCGGAGATACAGGGTGCTGAAATTTAATTTTTAATTCGATTTCATTTTTTTTAATCATTTTTTAAGTAACGTCAATATTTGGATGAAAATTGATTTCTGGAAGTTTTTTGACATGAGAAATTTGATTTTGTTGACAATATGACTCCTACTTGTAGAGGGCACCACCTACATATGTTTTAACTGGTTTGAAAACTTTTCAACCGTACCTGTATAAAACAAATGAGTAAAAAAATATACATTTACGACGTCTTTTTTTTAAATTCACTCAAAGTTCATTTAAAAAAATCTCTTGGTAAAAATCGCTACTAATGATTTGGTTTGGTTGGTTGTAATTTAAAAAAATAAAAAGTTCCCAAATTTATCATTTCAGTCAAATAACTATCTATTCAACTTGTTTATTTTTTTTTTGACATGTATTGACTATTTTCATTCTAAATATCTTGAGAACGGTTGCTCGTACCGATTTTTACTAAGAGACATTTTTTACATAAAAAGTTACAAAAATGTATATTTTTTCACTTGGTAGTTTTATACAGGTACGTAAGAAAATTTATTACTCTTCAAAACAGTTAAAACACATATAGGTGGCGCCCCCTACAAATAGAAGTCATATTGACATCAAAATCAAATTTCTCATGTCAAAAAACTCCCAGACACCAATGTTCATCCAAATATTGACGTTGCTTCAGAAATTATTCGGAAAAAATCGAAATAAAAATGAAATTTCTACACCCTGTATCTCTGAAACTAAGCATTTGAGAACATAGATTTATAGGAACTTTTTTACTTATTTTTATCTGCAGAACATGCTGCCGACGTTTCCGGAATACAGTTCGGACCACCCTGTATTATACAAGGTGTTTCAAAGTTGTTGTGTGTTGTTGAGTATAGTAAAGCGTAGTTTACACGGGATAGAAAATTGCGATAGAACGATAGAACTTGCTAGAGTAACTTGCGATAGTGTTAACATTTAAGCAAATTTTAAAGCAATTTCTTGCAACAAGTACTTTCTAGGCATATGCTTTGAGCAAGAAATTGCATGCACGTATACACGGTATGGTGTATATTGCACAAGTAGGTATATATTGTTTAGTAGAAAAATGCGGCGCCGTAAACAGAGAGCTGCAGCCACTGCTCTTCTTGTTGCAACTTTACGCAAACAGTCAAGAAAATCTAGAAAAAGAATATGGGTTAAAGAATGGATTGCCAGAAGGCCTAGTCTTGAAGCTTACGCGATGTTATTAAAAAAAATAAGAAATGAAGACTCAAAGCATTTAAACAATTTTCTACGAATGTCAGAAGTCAATTTTACTTTTTCTTTTTATAATTTTGTTCCACTCCTGGTTTGCTTCTGTACGATTATGTAGCTTCCGCTGAATCTCACCCTCAGTTGTGTTGAATTTGTCAGCTATAAATTTGATTGCTTTTTGCTTTTTAGCTCTATCTCTGTAAAGTTTCGATTTTTTTGTCACAATTCCGGAAATCCTTCAAATAAATTAATCAAAGTGATGGTATCTTCTTTCGACCGCATACTCCATTTTAATATCGTTATTTAACACGTCTTCGAAAATCACTTGCACCAAAAACTTTCAACAAGACGGAAATAAATTTTAACTTGCCATTGCACTCTCCCAACCTGTTTACACTTGCAAGCGTCTTTCGTCGCAACGCCAGTTTTGTGACTTGCTGGGAGAGTGCTTTCGGATAATGTTTACATTATGCAAGTTTGGTAGAAGTGCTCTCAGACATATACTTGCGATAATTTACTTGCCCGTGTAAACTACGCTTAAGGAATCTGCCCTCTCTTGGGCAGATTCCTTACTATACTCACTTAATTGGTTATTGCCTTCAGTTAAACCCCTTTCTCTTATAGTCAGCCTGTGCCTTAGCTGAGCAGCTTCCTGCCTCGCCTCTTCCAGTTTTCTTTCTGTTTGTCGATTGGCAACCCAATTTTCATGGGCTTTCTTCTCCAACATCGATATCTGACTCTTTAAATCCACCTCCTGATTGACGATTTCCCGTTTTAAGCTCTCATTTTGGGCCCTGAAAACAAACTAGTTCAAGAAACGCATATTAAAAAAAACTATTATGCATACTTATAATTTTGTAGTTCTTCTTGCATGTATTTAATTCGTTCGGTTGTTGATGTGGCTTCTCCTTCCTTTGCTGCCCATAATGATTCATATTTACTAATATCCCTAAAATATATTTTTTAATACAATAAATCCCTAAAAGTAGATATACAGAACGCTTACTTTTGCATTTGTTCTTCTTTTTCTTTAAAATAATTATTTAAAACATCTAATTTTGTGTGGATTTCGACTTTTTCTTTATCAGCCTTTTCATATTTCCCTCTCAATTCAGTAATTTCTTGTAACAAAGCTTGCATTTTTGATGAGCAAGATATATTCACTTCTCTCTCTGAAAAAGTTTTTATTTTACATTTATTGTTAACATTTTATTTTGTCCCATTAACATTGGCTATACCCTTGTTTATATATTCTTAAAGCTTTACGAATTTTTTTTTGGAAAACATAAAACTTTTTACATTTTTGATGCTAAGTAATTGGCATGGTATTATTGGTATGGAAATTAGCCAAGAAAGAAAAGAATTGGCTATAACTTATTAATTTTTCGAAAAAAACATATTATACCTATCGCTGAAAAGCTTAAAAAATGGCGCTTTTTATGAAGTCATGGTTTACTAAAAAAACATATGTTTGTGTCATATGTCAAAAATGACAGACTTTAGAAAAAAAAACAGAAAACACAATCTCATTAGGTACAGTCATAAAATAATTAACTAGAAAGAAGTGTCAACTCTGTGTTAAATCGTGGAAACACGATACGCCACCGAAAGCCTTCGTTGTCGTCTGGAGAACTAACTTTCCAATTGACAGGTTGACATGATAAGAACATGATGGCTTAATTTTCATTTCCGTTTCCGGTTATTCAATGGCGGGGCCTCTTTCAGTTCAAATGTATTTTGTATTTTTTCTTTTCATAAATAAAACCAAAAAATAATTTATTCACATATATTTATTTGAAATATGGAACAACGTGACTAAATAAATATAAAAATATAGAGGATTGTATTGTTTCAATACCAATTAGTTAATTATATGCACTTTTAACGTAAATTAGTTAAGTTGATGATGACTTACAGTAATTTGTAAATAAACACACGCATTCGCAAACTTCAAGGACAGAAAACGGACACAGGAATATGAAAACGGGAGCCTTATACAAAAACCTGAAAACAGAAAAACAATTTTTTTATACTAAAATTAACAATGTAAAAATATCAATAGGTATAAAATATAAATATACTGTTTAAAAAAAGCGTCCATTATTCCCAAAGAACCTGGCTTATAAATCAAAAAGATGCAAAAAGAGACTTTTAGTCGGATAACATAATCAGATTATCAGTCCGATTTATTGCATTATTGACAATAAATCGCACATACTGGAGATAACTAATGTTGGCTATAGTTAAAAATGATCTTACCTTGCTGTAAATTGTTTCCATTTTCAAAAAAATCGCCGATCAAAGAGATTATAACACCATTTTCTTGCATCTAAAAAATGTAAAAACAGTGTTTATTTACTACTTATTTTTCATATACATGGGACATACATACTGCATAAACGTCATTTTCTCCAGGATTCTTCATGTAATACATATTTTATATACTTTATTACCTTTATATTTATAAATTTCAGCCGAAATATTAAACTGAACTTCCAAAACGAAACTAAACGGAATGAATTAAAATGGCGTCGAATATTTTCGAATTTGTTCTAGAACAAATCTGAAGTTGTCTCTAAAACTGAAATCTGTCAATTCTAAACTGTGAAGTTAGACAATAGTTAGACAAAAACAATGCTGTCCTTGTCTAGGCGGCCATACTTGTCGTGAGGAGAATGACAGGAATGACACTAATGACTGTTTCCAATTTTCCTATTTCACTGTCACCCCCCTGGGTACAGTACGTCTGTCCGTTCTGTAGCTACGGGGTATCCGTGAGAGGGGAAACGATATTCTCCCGATGTTATTCGTAAAAAATAGACGACGCGTCCCATCAATAAAAATTCAACAAATTTGCAAGTAGCCAATAAAATGAGTGGGCGGAGCGATTTGCGGTGACGCACTCGTCAAATCGACGTATAAAATATATTGCTGTCTATTTAAGTAAGTAGATGTACTGTATGTGATTATCTACAACTTTTATCTGAAAACTTTTTGTCTAAAATACCGTATGATCGAATAAAAACGGCGTCAGCGATGGCTATGAAATGACGATCAATGATATTTCCCATATAATTTTACATAAAATGACAGCGATCTTCACTTCATAGCCATCGTTGACGCCGTTTTTATTCGATCATACGGTAGATTATAATGGAATTAGAGACAAGTTTTAAAATAGCCAAAATTTGTTTTTTTCGAAATATCTAATAAGCCTTGAACTTCTCCGAAAAATCCAAAAGGCGCATATTTATAACCCCACAAAACTGCAATTCTTTCCCCATTAACCGACTCTGTATCTCCAGTAGTTTCCGAGATGCCCATAGAGAACATCATAGGAAACTCACCCTGTATAGTATTTTGAAACTAACTATTATTATTATTTGACTAGTTTAATTTGATTAATAAGACTAGATTAATTTAATTTCAAATAAATTTGATCAGATTTTTTTTTCGTATATTCTGCTACCAGAAAACCAAGATTATAACGAAGTTGAAGGACCATATAGTGTATCTATCACAATACTTAATAGAACTACTACAATTATTACAAGAAAAACAAAAAGTAAATACCCAAATACCCCTTCAGCTACTACTCAACTACAAAATAAACGAATATAATCTCTTAAAAACACTACACAACTACTTATTCTTGTATTCTACACTGAACAAATTATCAAACTTACTAATAACAATAATAATAAAAAAAATAATAAATAAATCAAACAAAAAGAAAAAATAACAAAATTATCCCTTCACCTACTACTTAACTACAAAATAAACTATATAAAAACACTACTAAACTATTTTTGGTAGACTATACTAACATGCTACACTAAACACTATAATTAAACTTAATAAATTAATCTAATTTTACACTACACCTACAAAGAAAAAAGAAATATGAACATTTTCTAAAACTAGAAGAAACAGAACTTCCATACGTGCAACCAGGATAATAGGTCAAGGGGACAAAGAATATAAAATACTTTAAAATGTGCATTCAGAAAGAAAAAAATACCTCGAAAATTATCTAAACAAACATTTTTATTTCTTATCAGTGAGAAGCATCGGCCTTGTCGGCCTTGAAGAATTTGTCGGGTATTTACAATGGTCGAATTGTATAATTGCCAGCTTTTATAGCATATCTAATAGACAAAAAGTATCTGGTCGATTAGTAACCAGTTGGCACAGTCCGAAAATTATCGATTTTTATTTTCTGTGTTTTTATTGGTAGCTTCAAAATTCAGAGCAACAAAAAATATTTTTCTGTAGGGAAACCGGTCCTGCCATCTAGTAGTCTTAGTCCATAAACGTCTTAGGTTGATCTACTTTAAAAATATATATACAAGGATAATAGCTTTGTTCGGGTTTTTGTTAGGTTCGTTCCAACCGGACCAAGAACCGATCCTGGGACGGTAATGTCTAGTCGCCCACTTATTGTTTGAAAAGTTTGTTCGTTTGTCAAGATTAACAAATGAATTGACTGATAGGAAATTACCGTTCTAGGACGGTTCTCTCGTCCGGTTGGAACAAACATGTTATTACCGATTCTGAACCGTCCTAGAACTCTGCAGCGCATGCGCAAATGAAATAATGTCTTCATATTTCCTTCTGCGCATACGCATCACAGTTCTAGGACGGTTCAGAATCGGTAATAAGAGAAACCTGAAGTAAGCTAATGTACTGAACAAAGAGAAAACAGTAAAAACGTTGCCAAACGTATGAAATAAACCGAGAATCTATGCACATTGCTAAGAGACGTGGAAGGGGATACAGCAGATTCGTCGGGGTCGACCCTTTAGGATTTAATTACGTCTCGTTATACTTTATTTGTTTATTTATTAACGAGTCGTTGTAATTTTCCTTATAGCTTGTAAATCTTTAAGTGCAAGTTAGAAACTCTTGCACTTTTGGTAATAATGAGTGGAATTGAGTTGGTGTTCGACAGTGGTCGCGCTATTAGAAGAGAAATGTGGCAACGCAGCAACAGCACACCGTCGCATTTCTCTCACTCCGACTTAATAAGATCCCTATGCGATTTACTTCCACACATGTAAATACCGACTCAAAAGTAAGCACAGTAAAGATCTTACCTTGGCTTAATTGTTCCAAATATCTCAAATTCTCAGATTTAGATTGTTCAAGTTGTGCTTTCACTTCTGTCACTTCCAATAAGGATTTGAGAACATCTTTGTTATTTTTAACTGATTTGATTTCTCCTATGCTGTTTTTCAAAGTGTCATATTCTTTTACTTTTATTTCGGCCATTCTTTGTGAATCATTTAATTGTTGTTTTAGACTTTGTACTTCTCGATTTAATATCTGTTCCTTATCAACAGCTTCTTTATATTTAAGTTGTACTACGGTTACTTCTTTTTCTAATGTACTATTTTGACGATCTTTTTCTTCTTCCAGTTTCAAAATTTTCTCTACCATCTATTAAATAAATTAAAAATAATAGCTAATTATATATGGCGTAAATCAAACAGAAGGTTCCTTACCTTATCAACTTCTCCTTGTAGATCTGCTACTTTTTTATTACTAATATCTAGTTCCAAGTGTAGTTCATGATTCTCTGTTTCTTTTACGTTTAATACTCCATTAACTGTATTAATAGTATCCTGTTGCTCTAATAGTTTCTTCTGCATTTGTTCTATGTTCTCCTTTAATATTTCACTTCCATCTGTAGAGTTTAGCATCTCTGAAATAATCTTATTCAACTCTATCCCGACCTCTGTAGAGTTATCAAGCTCCTTTTCTAAAGCCTGTATTTGTTCTTCTAAGGCTTGTTTTATATTAGCCATTTGTGCTAATTTCTGGTGCAGCTCTTCAACCACTTCGTTTGGTACTGAATCTACAACCAATTGTGTCCTGTGATCATCCGACTCAATGACTCTTTCTTGTAACATTTCGTTTTCTTTAATGGTAGTCAGCAAGTCCTTTTCCAGCTTATTGATTCTAGCTATTAATGGTGCTTCTCTGCGACATTTGTCAAAAATTACAGAAACAAAAACAAGAATAATCACCGATAATGCAGTTGTAACAAGATACAAAAACATATTTGAGCTCAAAATATCGGTCAGAATTAAAGAGATATCTGATGAACTTGAAGGAATAACTGAATCTTGACAAATGGGACATTCTTTTACATCAACTTTTGGACATCTATTATCTTTACTAGTACAAAACTCATCGTTTAACGGTTCAGCAAAAATTTGCTCTTGCTGTGGCCCTGCAGTCAACGGGAGATCTTCACTTTGGTCAGCAGGATAATTTTCTTGTGAACCAAAATTAAAAAATGACGTTAAACTAGACCAAAATCCTTCTGATATATTTTCATTAGGTGAATCACTGTTCAAACTAGCATCTGGGTCTGATATTTTTTGTTCTGCATTAATATCAAATGTTTCTTGGTGTAAAATATGGTTTGGCACTTCATCTATTTCTAAATCATCGTCAATACTATCTCCCGTAAACATTTGATTTGTATTTATATCAATACTATCTTGTATGTCTTTAAATTCAGGAGTAAAATCATCTAAATTCAGGCTTTGATCGGTAACATACTCAACTGAAACAGTACTTGTATTTTCTATTTCTATTGAGGATGGTGTTTCTACATCTAACGGTACTTCAGTTGTAATTGGAAGACCCACTTTCTCTTCGACTGTTTGATAAACTTCTGTAAATTTATAGATGTCTTTCTTATCAGTATTTATACTTTTTTCAGAAACATCAAGAGCCTCTACATTATCTACATTTAATTCTTCAACTGTATTTTCTACTTTCTTATCAATTATCTCATCATCTTTCTTTAGATCATCAACAGGAACATTATTTACAGTTTCAGTCCTTAGATTATCTACCGCATCACTTTTGTTTAGACTAGATTCTGTTAAGTTTTGTGCTATTTCACTAACTTTTGCAAGATCTTCTGACGTACTATTGTTTAAACTATCTTCAGAATTATTAAAACTAAAATCACTATTTGAATCAGTATTAGTTGATTGATCATTTGGAAGTACATTATCTGATGGAATTAATATATTCATAATATTTTCTACAGATTCACTTTTGTCTTCGTTATTTGTATCAGTAATATTAATTGATTGATCATTTGGAAGAACATTATCTACAGCTACTGTGTCGTTAATATTCTGTACAGATTCACTATCTTTTTCAGCTTCATCGTTTTCCTCATCATCATCATCATCCTCTTCATCAGCAATTTCCTCAATACCACTATCATCGTCCTGAAAATAAAGCATTAGTGATATTTCCACTGTATATAGATATTTTATTATAAAATTTTACTTCAAGTTCTTCATCAACATCAGCTGAGTTATTCTCAACCTTGCCATCATTAACATTTATACTTTGAGTATCTGGCAATTTTACTTCAGGTTCTTTACTTATGTCAGCCGCACTATTTTCAACCTTAATCTGGGCATCTGATTCGTTTATACTTTTTGTATCTTGCAATTTCGAGACTTCGGGATCTTCACTTATTTCAGCTGTATTATTTTCAACTAATTTTTGGTTGTCAGAAACATTTATACTTTTTGTATCTGGTACTTTTACGTGTTCTTCAATTTTGTCAGCTGCTGCACTATTCTCAATCTTTTCTTGATCTTGAGAAACATTTATATTTTGAATATCTGGCACTAAAATACAATATGCATATTGAACATTACATTAATCAGGCAAATATGACAGAATGGCTCTGACAGCCTAGGCAAGGCAACTCTCTCCTGAAAAGGAGAGTTTGAGAAGAAAGAAGAAGAACAATATACATTGGCAAATACCATTTAAATTAAGTTCTTTTTAATGAAGTGACAATCAAATGAAAAACTAACAACTTCTAACCAACCTGTCTCTAGAGGGGTAGTGACTTTTTGAACTTCATTTTCATTTTCAAATGTGGGCAATGGCACTGTGGTAGTGAATTCAGGCTCCAGAGGTATAACTGTACCATCAACAATTTCAAAAGGCTGTTTTGTATGGTCTGCACTAATTTCACTGTTAACAGTTTCTGAAGGCACATCTGGCTTACTTTGGGGCTTCTTAATATCCACAAGTAATGTAGGTTTTTTGATTAATTCTATTTCTCTAAAATACATCTTATTGATATAGCCTCGTTTGCCATTAATTTCAACACCGAATAATTCTGGTTTGGACCCAGCACCATAACTAAACACCTTCACATCTTCGTTTGGAGCAAAAGAGAGTATATCTTTATCTGTGCTAGTATATTTTAGGAGAGTCTTTCCAATAGATATAAGCTCTAAAAAAATACAGAACAAAATAGAAAGTGGTGAGAAGTAAAGCCAAAATAACAGTTGAATCTTACTTGAACAATTTTCATCTACGCATAGGCGCTTGTCAGATATATCTGCATTAGTTTTTACAAATATTAGGGCAAATATAACAAAATATATGGGTTTATAACTAAACATTTTAACATACTTTGACAAATCTTTTCATTGCAAATTCTGAAAGCCACATCACTGTTTTTCCGTCAAAAGCGCCATCTAATCATAACAAGAAAATTTTTGAAATGTGCCTAGACACCACCCCCTCCACTTAAGGCAAATCAACATGATATGCGCAAGGCAAATATGGCGGCGAAAGCAGTGCATTTTAAAATTGTTTACAAAAGCCGATAGTGGTTTCTCGTTCCGATTGCATACCAGAAATAATTAATTATCTCTAGTTTGTTGTGCTTCTGAAGCACAAGAGTGTTATAAAAATCCAAACCAGACATTCCACATAGGGAACTTCAAACTTTTGTGCTTGTCTCTCGTACTCCTGTATTATTAATTATTTTAAGGTAAGAACTAGAAGTATTTATCAAGATATTACACCTAAATGAGTGAAAATCCTTCACCGCCAGTCTGCATAGTACTTTATAACTTTTACTTACAATAATCAAATAGGTATTAAAGGGTTACATTTTATTGTAGCATGCCTTGTACATGCTCTGTTCCAAATTGTCACGGGAATTATAGAGGGGGTCCCAAGGTTTCTGCTTTTATATTCCCCAAAAATGACGAGCTTCGTAAAAAATGGTTGACAGCTATTGAAAGAGATAATTTCACTACTACTATATAGTAGTTGTCGGGTAAGAAGTGCGCCAGGCTTCAACTAGTACTATATATTTATCAAACGTTCAGTAAATTCTAAACTATGGTAGTTAAGTGCTGGCAATTGAATATTTAGTTTATATTGCTATTTTCTATCATATATTTCTGGTTGTTTCTTTTTCTGGTTATTTCTTTTTCTGGTTATTTCTTTTTCTGGTTATTTCTTTTTCTGGTTATTTCTTTTTCCTATGATTTTGAACACCCTATATATGCTACCTCAAGTTTGAATATTTTAACTATACCTATTTTCTGAGAAAGCAGAACTTTTTATAAAACGTAACTAACTGATCTTTTCATAAAAGTAATAATACAAAAAATTCCATACTGATGAGGAGAACTTTAGACTCGCTGTATATTAAAAAATTAGTAATCTAACCCGACATTTGTGTGAAAAATGCTTTAAAAAAATGTTTATTTGGAAATAAAACAGGGTTTAAAATACCCGCCAAATAAAGCACTTCTATCTCCGCCATATTGTAAAAGGTTGAATGGCCTTAAGTGGAGGGGTGGTGTTCATGGGCGACATTCGATTTCCCGCAAACTTGCCGCAATTCCTTAATTTTCTAAAATTTCTTAAAAATAATATATTTCGTATAAAATACGTTACAAAATATATACAAATCATCTTATATAATTTATCTTCTATTTGAAGTATATAGAAGGAATAATTCACCTTTGTTTAGTAAATTAATTAAAAAATTCATTTATGAAATATAGGCAACCAGTAATACACCTTTGGTATACGTCAATCTTTTAATATTCACGGGGACGGCGTGGACGTATATGCGTGGACCTTGCGTGGACCTCTGTTTACATCTCTGGTTTACATAATCAGCTGTTCAGAAGTAGATATTCGGTCACATTCGGACATTTTCATTTTTTCATGGACTTGATTTTAGGTATTATTATTTATTTTAGTGCAAAAAAGTAATCAGTTTAATGTTTAAATGACACAAACTACTGCCATTTATATGGTTACTCTCTGTTTCCCATGAAAAAATAGAAAAATGACTAAGTAAGTTTTGTAAGTGATTTAACCTTAGTCCATTATTTTGTTTTATTTATCTTTGTGCGTGTTTTTTTAAGAGTGTGACTCTTCATCAATAAGACTGGAGTGTGTTTATTTTGTACTATGCCTTATCTTTGTTGTGTTCCTGGTTGCAAGAGTAATTATCCCGGGTACCCTAAAGCGTCCTGTTTTTCTTTTCCAAAAGATCTTCAAGAACAGGAAAACTGGGCGCGAGCTATAAAACGAGAAAACTTCAGACCGACAAAAGCGTCACGGGTAAAAACATTTATTCTATTAGGTTTAGTATTAATATTGTCTATGGGCACAATACTATTGTATACAAACAATATTGTCTATTGTCTCAAATGGCTCTTGTAGGTATGCGAATTACACTTCCGGCCCCATGAAATTGAAAGAGTAGCTTCTTTTTATGTGGAAAGAACTGGCGAACTATTAACTGCTCCATTAAAGAATCCAAGAGTTGCTAAAGGTACAGTAAATTGAATTTTCATATCTACTTACCTAATAATTTTGTATAGAAAACAGTGAACTTTTAGTAAACAAATTTTGTTAATCATAGTTGCACTATTTAAGTGCAACTATGCACAAACTCAGTTCTTTTCTCGTCAACTGAATAATTTTGACTAAAATGTTCAAGTCTGAACCCACCTCAAGTTACAGCAACATACACTATTTGTTTTTAGATGCAGTACCTTCTAAACTACCTGGTTGCTCCACGTACCAGTCTAAAAAACGAAAGCCCAAGAGGTCTCAGAAGAAAGCGCCAGAGGAAAAAAAGGAACCTTTGTCTCTCAGGTGGGTATATTAGTCCCTGAGTAATATACAGGGTTGTTCACCACATACGACACGGAGTATTCTAGCTAAACGATTAGATTTTTACAAATTCTAAGTTCTGGCTTATAGTTATTATAAGAATTGATTATGAATAAATTAGTGAAATTTATTTATTGATCAGCAGGTTAGGACGTTAAATTGTGAATCTGATTCACGTAAGATATACAGGGTGTCCTATTTAAATTAAACAAATTATTGCCGTTTAAAGCTAGTAATAATTATTTAATATAAATTTTTAGACACTCTGTATAAGGTAGTATAATTTTTTATTATTGCAACACAATATCTGATCAATAAATAATAATCTTCAGTACATAATTAGTATTAAAAACTTTGATACCCTTGGAGAAACGAAGCTTTAAAATTTTTACTGCAATTTCACAAAATTGAAAATATTTCAAAAACGGTAAGATATAAGTGTGATAAACCCTAATCAAATTTACCTTTCTTTCAATCGTAGAATCGAAAAATAGAATAATATACAGGGTGTTTCATTTAAAAAAATACAACTATAATATTTTTTACTTATTTGAGACACTCTTTATTTTGTAAAATTATTTCTAAATTGTAGCTCTAATAGTCCTTCAACGAACCCAGAACTTACAATTTGTAAAAATCTAATCGTTTAGCTGCAAAACTCCGTGTTGTTTGTAGTGAACAACCCTGCTTATCCAGTATAACATCCAGTTTTTCAAATAACCTATTTTCCTAATTTGCCAAACCCAACCAAACCAAACTGTATTATGTAGAACATAGTGTGTAGACCAAAAGACAGATGTTTTACCTTACACATCAATACTTCAACTGTTAAATTAAAATAGATAGACTTCAACTGATAAATTAAAATTACATAAAGACAATAATCCAGTTAGACCAGTCGTCTCGTACATAAATGCTCCCTCTTATAAATTATGTCAAATACTAGCTAAAACACTTCCTTCCATGATCAATTTTCAATCAAAATTTGCCATAAAGAATTCTTTTGAGTTGCTAGATAATTTGAAAAATATTGAAGTTCCACATAATGCAACACTCGTTTCTTTCGATGTCAAAAGCCTGTTCACTTCTATCCCAACCCATGAATTGTCCTCTATTATTTGTGAACTAATTGATAAATCTAATCTTAATATAATAGTAAAATCAGATTTAATAACAATAATTGAAACTTGTTTAGAACAAAACTATTTTCAGTATAACAATGAAATATTTAAACAGAAAGATGGGTTACCGATGGGTTCCCCAATTTCACCGTTATTCGCAGAAATATTTATGGCAGATTTTGAAAAGAAGCTATTTAAAAATAAGAGTAGTTTAATATCAAAAATAAATTATTGGGCAAGATATGTAGATGACATTTTTTGTATTTGGTCAGGCACCGAGAGAAATTTAAACAGTTTTTTAACATTATTAAATTCAATTAACCCGAGAATACAATTTACTATTGAAAAAGGTATTAATACCATCAATTTTCTTGATGTTACAATTATAAAACAGTCTAATAGATTACAATTTGATATTTACAGGAAACCCACTACCACAGACACTGTAATACATAGTCAATCACACCAATCCTGGCAAATCAAAATGTCACCCTTTCATAGTTTAATTCATAGATTAGTAATGTTTCCACTGAGCCCAGAGAATTTTAAAAAAGAGTTAAATATTATTAAACAGATCGCCATCAACAATGGATATAAGTGTTCCCTTATTGATAATATGCTAAAGAAAAAACAAAACAAAATATTAATGAAAAATTTTTAATCCGCTAATTCTAAAGACAATAACAATTATCAACCTTTAAACTACATTCCTAATTTAACTAACAAAATATCAAATAATCTCAATAAAATAGGATGTAAAACTATTAACGTAAATAAAAGAAATTTAGGTCAAATTTTATTAAATAATAAAGACAAAACTAATGTCAAAAATAAGTCGGGTGTATATAGGGTGGATTGCAATGATTGTGATGCCGTGTACATAGGCCAAACAGGTAGAAATGTAGATATAAGGATTAAAGAACATGTAAAGTATATTAATAATCTCCAGCATAGTTCTGGTCTTGCAACTCATTGTATAGTAAATAATCACAAAATTAATGAAAACTCAATTAACTTACTACACAGAGAAACAAAAGGTAGACGCTTAAATTACATTGAACAGTTAGACATACTAAAATCTGTTAAAAACGAAAATAATGTTAACGACCAACAAGGATTTCTAAACACATTTTTTATTACTCCTATTGTAAACTCTCTGAACCCACCCCAATAGCAAATATATATATAGTTACAGTGTAGTTAGACGATTAGTTCTTAAAAAACTCTTGAAAAAGGCCTAACAAGCCGAAACATATATGTAGAGTTAAAGTTACTCTTATTAAAAGCTTTTTGAAACATCTAAAAGCGTGCTTTATTAAAATACTAATATTTCAACGATGTTTCACAAGGAACCAACCACAGCTTTAGTACAATTTATTAAAATAGATAGCGTGATAATACAAAATGTTACCATCTAATCCAATAAATATATTTCCTAGAGTATGCCGAACCTGCTTAGCCCATAATGACCTGTATTTAATTGACAATGTAAATCGGGAAGGTCTTGATCTTAAAGAAATAATAGAAAATTGGACCCCTCTTAAGGTAAACCGAAAATATTTAGTATTATTTAACTTAGTTAAAGCCTTGTTTATATATTCTTAAAGTTGTTCAACCGACTAGACAAAATGTGCTGCCAACTGGAGGACAAATCGTGAACCTTTCGGGGCGGAGTCAAAAATATCGATTATTTTCGTTATTTTCCTCAGAGTAATGTTTCTGCGAACTTTAATAATGATCAGCTGATTAAGAAATTTAAACGAAAACTTTTATTTTATTGTAAATTGTGGATTATTTTTGCTTGTTATTTTAAGAATTCTAACCCGTATTAACAAAGAAATTATTATTTCGATATGTTGGTACATTATTTATAATTTATGATAATGCTAATTGCTGTTAATTAATATTTTTTTAAAAAAAGTTACATACCTATTTTAATTTGATTTAATGCAGGTTTATAAAAGAATCATTTCATTCTTAGATTATTTTATTCTAAATTGAGTTCTTTACGAATTTTACGATATTTTTTTTTTTTGAAAACAAAACTTTTTACATTTTTGATGCTGAACTAATTGGCATGGGGTATTATTGGTATGGGAATTAGCCAAGAAAGAAAAGAATTGGCTATAACGTAATTTTTCGAAAAAAAAACATATTATACCTATATCGCTGTAAATCTTAAAGAATGGCGCTTTTTATGAAGTCATGGCCAACTAGGATTTCCATTTAAAAAAAAACATAATGTTTGTGTCATATGTCAAAAATGACAGGCTTTAGAAAAAAAAACAGAAAACACAAACTCATTAGGTATGCGATTATCTACAACTTTTATCTGAAAACTTTTTGTCTAAAATACCATATGATCGAATAAAAACGGCGTCAGCGATGGCTATGAAATGACGATCGATGATATTTCCCATATAATTTTACATATAAAATGACAACGATCTTCATTTCATAGCCATCGTTGACGCCGTTTTTATTCGATCATACGGTAGATTATAATGGAATTAGAGACAAGTTTTAAAATAGGCAAAATTTGTGTTTTTCGAAATATCTAGTAAGCCTTGAACTTCTCCGAAAAATCCGAAAGGCGCATATTTATGACCCCACAAAACTGCAATTCTTTCCCCATTTAACCGACTCTCTATCTCCAGTAGTTTCCGAGATACCCATAGAGAACATCGTAGGAAACTCATCCTGTATAGTATTTAGAAACTAACTATTATTTTTATTTGGCTAGATTAATTTGATTAATAAGACTCGATTAATTTAATTTAAAATAAATTTGATCAGATTTTTTTTTCGTATATTCTACTACCAGAAAACCAAAATTATATGATAACGCACTTTTCAACGAAGTTGAAGGAATATATAGCGTAAATATCACAATACTTAATAGAATTACTACAATTAGAAGAAAAACAAAAAGAAAAAATACCCAAATACCTTCACCTACTACTCATCTACAAAATAAACGAATATAATCTCTTATAAAAACACTACACAACTACTTCTTGTATTTTACACTGAAAAAATTATAAACTTACTAATTAATCAAACAAAAAGAAAAAATAACCAAATTATCCCTTCAACTACTACTTATCTACAAAATAAATAAACTATAAAAACACTACTAAACTATTTCTGGTATTCTACACTAAATATTATAATTAAACTTAATAAAATTAATCTAATTTTACACTACAACCACTACAACTATAAAGAAATAAGAACATGTTTTAAAACTAGAAGAAACAGAACTTCGATACGTGCGACCAGTATAGTAAATCAAGCGGACAAAGAATATAAAATACTTTAAAAATGTGCATTCAGAAAAAAAATATCTCGAAAATTATCTAAACAAACATTTTTTTTTCTTATCAGTGAAAAGCATCGGCCTCGTCGGCCTTGCAGAATTTGTCGGGTATTTACAATGGTCGAATTGTATAATTACCAGCTTTTATAGCATATCTAATAGACAAAAAGTATCTGGTCGATTAGTAACCAATTGGCACGGTCCGAAAATTATCGATTTTTATTTTCTCTGTTTTTATTGGTCGCTTCAAAATTCAGAGTAACAAAAAATATTTTTCTGTAGTAAAAGACTGTGAAATACGCCCCGCCATCTGGTGCTTTACATCCATAAACGTCTTAGGTTGAGCTACTTTAAAAATTCATATACAAGGGTTAAAGTTAGTAAAAATAGGTCTCTCATTTCATCTTGAATAGTATATTTTATTTCAGTTAAAAAAAAATGAGAAACTCCCAAGAAAGATGTGCCAACGTTGCATTAATGATATGTACCAGACTTACCAATTTTTACTTAAGTGTAAGAAGTCAGAAGAAACTTTAAAACGATATTTTTATCAAGGCATACAGATTGAACTTAACGAACAAGTTTTAGTTGCAGATAGTGAGAATGTAGGTGATACTCATTCAGATATTCATTACACAGAGGATCTGTCTGATGTTGATGAAAACAATACATATAAGAAAAATAACAAGGCTAAATCAGATAGTGAGAATATAGGTGATATTTATTCAGATATTCATTACATAGACGATCTGTTTGATGTTGGTGAAAACAATACATCTAAGAAAAATAACAAGGCTAAATCAGATAGTGCGAATGTAGGTGATATTCATTCAGATATTCATTACATAGAGGATCTGTCTGATGTTGGTGAAAACAATACATATAAGAAAAATAACAAAGCTAAATCAGATAGTGAGACTGTGAGTGATATTCATTCAGATATTCATTACATAGAGGATCTGTCTGATGTTGATGAAAACAATACATATAAGAAAAATAACAAGGCCAAGTCAGATAATGAGAATGTAGGTGATATTCATTCAGATATTCATTACACAGAGGATCTGTCTGATGTTGAAGATTCTAAAGAATTGATTAGTCTTGTATTTGATGACACGGAGAGTGAGAAAGTAGAAAGTATGAATACTTTATTGGGTATTACAAATATTAAAATAGAAATTGAGGAGAATGAAGTAATAGACAATGAAATTAAGACAACAAATGATGAACAAACAGTACACGATGATAATTTAACAGATCTTGTAAATATGGCATTAAATAATGATGTAGGTGATGACAGACACAAAAAAGATAATGCTAATGTTTTATTTGATATCGCAAATGATCAAACTAAAATTAAGCAGTTTGAAGTAAAAAATAATTCTATGAAAAGACGAAGACTACACAAGGCACAGCTAATTGATAAAAAACATCTATCAAAAAATAAAAATATATCGTATGTTTTCCTAAAAGGTGTGTTGATTTTAAGTTCCATATTAACCAGGGTTGGCATGATATATATCAATGATATATATCATTGATATATATCATGATATTTATACCTTGATATATATCATGATATTTATAAAAAAATAAAACTCAACAATCAGAAAGAAAAAAGGAAAAAAGATAATATTGATTGGATCTGGGACAATCAACAAATCAATTGATTCTGATTCTGACGCATCTGACGATGATTTACCATTAATAAAACTAATAAATCAAATATAAATTTGTTTGTTGTTAGTTTTAGAATATCTGTTTATTTTTTGAATTTCCGTTTATTTTTTAGAATTTCCGTTTATTTCTTAGAATTCCCGATTATTTTTTTAGAATTTCCGTTTATTTTTTAGAATTTCTGTTTATTTTTTAGAATTTCTGTTTATTTTTTAGAATTCCTGTTTATTTTTTATAAGTTCTGTTTATTTTTTGGGTGACATTATTTTTCCGCCATCTTTGTACCGCGATATCTCCCTAATGGTTGACTTTTGACCCAACGTTTATGAAGCAAACTACCCTTTATTTTGAATCAAGGAATCACCCCCTGAAGTTTTTCGCATTTGTTTTGAAACACCCGTATATCGGATATATATCGAATATACAGGGTGTCCCAGAAATAAGTGCAAGTATTTTGACTGATAGTATAGTTCAACCCCAGAAACACGCCTATGAGGTTTTTCGCGAAAAAAATTTTGAAAATTGGAAATTTTTCGACATTTTTTTTGGATTTTTTTTAGTTTTTAGTTAAAAAACATAATTTTTTGATAATATGGCAACGTAAGTATTAGATTAAATTTACAAGAAATAAAATCCAGAAAAGATCCAGTGGTTCTCAAAATTTTAGCAAAAAATCATTTTTTTTGGAAATTTTCAAAGTAAAATAACTCCGTTATTTGGGACTTATTTGAAAAACGATAAAGAGAAAATATGTTTCTTTTATCGAGATCTACCACCCCTTAAAATATTTGCACTTATTTCTGGGACACCCTGTAAGTCGGATATACACTTCCTCAATAAATTAACGCACCACAAAAAAATAACCAAAAGTTTAATAGTTAAGAGTTTTTTTCAAAAACACTTATTCGATTTGAACGATTTTTTTTTGAATGATAGGTTATTCTTTCCAGAATATTGCTATACTAACTGTATTTTGATAGGAACCCTTTTTATACTAATACCGGGTGTAGCAATTATAACGTGTTTTTTAATAAAATTTGTGACACCACTGTAGAGTTGATCAGTTACGTGCATCCAAGTTAAAATTAATCACATTTTAGCCTTATCTTTTTTTACATTTGTTTTTTATTTACTCCATTATCTTCCTTATTACATGAGAAACAACATTTTATAGAGATGACATGATTTAATATTGGTTTTTAATTAACATTTTTTCCATTTTACTCACTAAAGCAAGTAGCAGGCTATGGAAAAGCACGGATTACCAGTAAATGTCAAATAGAGATGCTTGTTGTCAGTGTCAGTCGTTTTTCGTCCTTTTATTATATCAAAAATATGCAACGTGCACGTGAAACAAGAAATCTTACTGGCGAGAGAAGATATGTGCTTAAGCACTAATATTGTCTTCGAGGAAGGTTGGAGCTACCCGAAGAATTGGTCAACGATTTAATGTAACTCACTCAACCATTTCACGAGTTATATACAGCATTTAGAGATGCTAGGGAGTAATTGTCGCAGAGCCGAGACGGGAATCGAAGAACCAATCCGATTCAGGAACGTTTTTAAAACTCTCAACATTAAGACAACGTTTCGTAACAGCTCGGTGCCCAACTCAGCTCAGAGATATAATGGTCTACAAGTTTGCACAGAAACTAGCATCAGCAGTAAGACTTAACGTTTCGTAACAGCTCGGACCCCTTCCAACTCATCCAGAAGAGATACTAATGGTCTACAAGTTTGCACAGAAACTAGCATCTCTATTTAACATTTACTGGTAATCCATGTTTTCCATAGCCTGCTACTTGCTTTAGTGAGTAAAATGGAAAAATGTTAATTAAAACCAATATTAAATCATGTCATCCTATAAAATGTTGTTTCTCATTAGCCAATAAGGAAATAATAAGCAAAAAACAAAATGTAAAAAAGATAAGGCTAAAATGTGATTTCAACAACGATACTAACGGATCCACTCTACAGGGTGTCTAGAACCGTAAAAAACACGTTATAATATACATCCGCCAATAGTATAAAGGGTTCCTATCAATTAGTTATGCAACATTGTGGAAAGAATAACCTATCATTCAAAAAAAAATCGTCCAAATCGGATAAGTGGTTTTGACAAAAACTTGCGTTAATTTATTGGGGAAGTGTATATCCGATATTTACATAAATATCATGATATTTGCCAACCCTGATATTAACTTTTAATTGTTGTTAAACTTTGTTTGTTGTTAGGTCCACCATACATATGCATCACATGTGATGCATCTTTCCAAAGCTACAAGGAACTACGAAAGCACAAAACTGTGACCAATCACAAATCACTATCAAAGTTTTTATGTCCATATTGTAATAAGAAACATGATTGTTACTCTACACATGTGGAACACGTTAGGACTCATACAGGAGAAAAACCAAATAAATGCTCTATATGTGGCAAATGCTTCAATTTAAAATGCGTCTTTAAAAGACATATGCTTACACATTTGGAAGTCAAGCCACATAGTTGTACAGTTTGTAATAAACAATTTACACGCAGGCAATATTTGACGGACCATGAAAGAAAACATACAGGGGAAAAATTAATATGCTCATTTTGTGGGAAAGTATTTTCCTCGTATGGTTTATTATGCTGTCATGAAAAGACTCATAGAGTGCCTCCAGGAAGTGATAACAAATCAAAGAAAAGGATGGACCCAGTGACAAGAGATAAATTATTTCAATGTCATGTTTGTGGAAAGGAATTACGATCAGACGCAAGTTTAAAAACGCATTTAAGTCATTTACATGGTCCCAGAAATTTTAAATGTGAAATATGTGGAAGAGCTTACGTCAGTAAAAAACATTTAGAAGAGCATATACAAGCATCTCATCAAGGTATACTTTTTTTGCTATAGTTTATATTTAGGGGTTAAATCATTGGAATAAGTTCTGTACCGTAAACTCCCCTAATTTTGTCCGAACACCTAACATTGACCAAAAGATCACTGACCGGTATAATGCACCACAGCATCACATACTTCTATAATGTTGGTCATTTCTGTATACAAATAGTTATTTTAATGACCCATAGATGTCGTTATGCCCCGTCAACACAAATCGGCTTGAAATTATACGCGTAGTTACCGTTAAATATTTGGACGAGAAACACGTGAAAATTTTGAGTCCGAAAACTTTCCATTGTGGGTGAGAAACTAAAAAGACATAAGTCAAATCTTTCCTTGCGGTAAGTAGTCTAGTATGTTAGTAGTCTAATCCACCTTTTTTTTATTTTGTTATTCTTTTGTTTATGATAATGGTGATTTTTATTTCTTAAACATAACCTTTTTTTTTCTGTTCTCAACTTTGACCAGCGGTCAAAGTTACTTCCACGGTCAAAGTTATGATAACGTCAATCGAAAATCTGGTTCCCACTCTGATTTTTGTTTTATTTTTGGTTTTATAGACATGCCTAAAAGAAAATATCGGCGTTATGAGGACAGGGAAGATAAAGTATTGCTGGACAAAGTTTTGAGCATGATAAAATCAGGACGAATCTCAAGAACAAGAGCCGCCAATGAGTTTCATATTTCAAAAGGAACAATAATAAATAGGTTAAAAAGTCAGCACTGTGGTAAAATTGGGCGCCCGTTTGTTTTTTCAAAGGAAGAAGAAAATGCCATGGTAGCACACATTTTAAAAGTTAGTGAATGGGGATATCCTTTTTCCCGAGTTGATTTGCAACATTTAGCCAGCGAGTTTCTTAATAGAAAAGGTGTGAAGGTTCCTCAATTCCAAGAGGGTAATTTGCCAACGTTAAAATGGTGCACCAAATTCATAAGACGCCATGAAAATATGTTGTCATCTAGAATGTGTCAAAACCTGAAAACATCCAAAGCACAGGTTTCACCAGATACCATAAAGGCATATTTTGACGCTTTACAAATAACTTTAACGGAGAATAATGACTTTATTAGCCCTGATCGTATCTTTAACTACGATGAAACGAACCTCTCTGACGATCCTGGTACAAAGAAATATATTTTTAAAAAAGGCGTTAAGTACCCAGAGAGGATTCGAGACTCTACCAAATCTAGTGTCTCCATCATGTTTTGTGGATCGGCGGCCGGTAAAATAATACCACCATACGTTGTATACAAAGCTGAAAAAATATGGTTAACTTGGATGGAAGGAGGGCCGCCGAACACTCGTTACAATCGAAGTAAAAGTGGATGGTTCGATGCCACCATTTTTACTGACTGGTTTTTAAATCTCTTTGTGCCATATGTAAAAAAATATATAAACGGAAGAGTAGTATTATTGGGAGATAATCTTTCAAGTCATTTTACTCAGGAGGTTCTTAGTTCAGCTGAGAGGAACAATATAACGTTTGCTTGTTTGCCGAAAAACGCAACACATCTCACCCAGCCTCTAGATGTAGGTTTCTATGGTCCGTTAAAAAGAAGATGGAGAGAGATTTTAGACAATTGGAAGCAATCGCAAAAGAAAAATTCTCAAACGATTCAAAAAGATCACTTTCCACGTTTGTTAAAAAAATTAACAGAGGTCGTTGCGCCTAACAATTATTCACAAAACCTAATTTCAGGATTTAAAAAATGCGGAATTAGTCCTTTTAATTCTAAAGAAGTTTTAAACCGCCTACCCCAAGAAAACAATCACGACCAGAATTCTACTCCCGCATCGACTATGGTTTCCTCAATAGTAGTAGATATGTTAAAAAACATGAGATACGGCGATAATAGTGACGCCCCAAAAAAACGCAGATCTAAAGTTAATGTTCAGGCTGGAGCCAGCATTTCTGTAGAGGATTTATTGCTGAACAAGCCGCCTCAGGTTTCACTGCCTTCTTGTTCCACTGTCTCTACGAAGAAAAGACCTAAAAAGTCATCAAAGAAAAATGAGAGTGACGACCAATCTTCGGTTTCTGAAGAAGACATACATTATATGGATTCTTCAGAAGATGAAAATTGGGAGACTTATTGTGAAAAACAGTTAAAGGAACAAGAAAGAGAATGGTCGTCTGATGATGAGCAGCCTTTGGCAGAATTATCTAACGCAATCGAAAAAAATGAAACCCAGTTAAAACAAACAAGTGAATTCAAGGCATTAAGTAAAGAAAATGAAATGCAAATTGACGTTGAGGAATACCATAGAGATATTAATGAGTGTATAGAGGTTGATGATTACTTACTTGTCAGTTTTAAGACTTCCTCAAAGTGTAACAGCAACAAATACTATGTTGGGAAGGTAGTTGCGAATGATCCGATTTTAGAATTATCATTTTTGGTGAAACAAAAATTTAAAATTTTTCTGGCCCAACGTTGTGGATCACTCAATCATAGAAAAAAAAAAACAGATCGTCTTAAAATTAAAAAACCTCTTGAGAGAGAAAACGATATTTAGTTTTTGAAGAACTTCACAACAAGACTCAAAAAAGATAGAGTGATAGGTATTTTAAAAAAATAATCTTTTAGGTTAATTTTTTAACTTTCTTTTCCTCATTGATTGTGTTACGGTTTAAACCAAAGAATTCCCTTTTAGTTAGTTTATTTAAGACGTAAGGCTAGGCAGGGTTTTTTATTTGTTAAGTTTAAGTGCCTTTTATTTAATAAAGAGGGAAATTTGTTTTGTTTGTAAGCGATATTTTATGAATAAAAATATTTTGTATTTTTTTCACTTTAAATCAGATTTTTGTATTTTTTATAGCTAACGCATTTTTTTAAAAACATTTTTAGCGGTCAATGTTACTCTGCGCGACGGCAAAATTGGCTTGTCATAGATTTTAGGTGGGTGGTCAAAGTTACGACGTTAGAAGGTAACTTTGACCACCCACCTAAAATCTATGACAAGCATTTGCACCAAGCATTTTTTTAAAAAAATGGGACTATGTTCACGATATCGAAATAATGACTACATATGTCTATTAGCTTAAGTATAGCCCTAATATTGGCAATTTTGTTTAATTTTTATTGCTTAAGGTTAATAAGATTTTGCAAAATAAAGTTCAAAAGCGGTCAATGTTATGGGACTTTACGGTACACTATTTTTTTTTTGGTATTGATAGTTTTCCAAAGCAGTGGCGCATCCAGAGATTAAGTCTGGGAAGGGTAGTGTCAATATTTAAATAAAATGCTACATTTAAATTAAATTTTCGCTAGAGGTATTGTGACTACGGAAAAAATAAACTTGGGTTGGTCTGGATTTTCTATTTTGTCCACACCACTATTTTATACCACATTTTCTTATTTATAAATCTCTTTCTGGGGGGAGGGGTAATTACCCCCATAACCCCTCCCGTATATGCGCCCCTTTTCCAAAGTCAATTGGAATGGTAGTCGGGCTTGTTGTTGTTGAGCTCTAAATTTCATAACTGTTTCAAATACTCCATTCTTAGCAGCAATGAATACTCTTATACAGGGTGGTCCGAATTGTATTCCGGAGACTTCGCCAGCATATTCTACAGATAAATATATATATATATATATATATATATATATATATATATATATATATATATATATATATATATATATATATATATATATATATATATATATATATATATATATATATATATATATATATATATATATATATATATATATATATATATATATATATATATATATATATATATATATAAAGCGAGGGTCCTACAGCTTCTGCCGCATCCCGCATTTCGACCTCCATATTGCTCGATTTTGCCATTCTTCCTGGTTAATAGCTCTGTCTCTCATGTACTGGTCTACTCCATCTAACCACGTAGTTGTAGGTCTTCCCTTTTCCTTCTGCTTTGGGGACGATACTCCATTGCCCTTTTGGCCATCTTTCCCCTCCCATTCTTTTTACGTGCCCATACCATAGTAGCTGTCTCGATTCGATGTTGTCGGTGCTGGTATATATTCGCCTTGTTCTTTGCCTGATCTCCTCATTTCTAATGTGTTCCATCCTTGATATGCGACATGCTCTTCTGAGAAAGTCCATCTCCACTGACTCGACCATCCTTCTTTCTTTTGCTGTAAATTGCCAGCATTCGGCACCGTATGTTAACATTGGATCTACTATTGCTTTGTAAATCCTTATCTTTGTTTGGATGGATGTTTTATTTGACGACAGGAGAGAGTTTAAAAGACCGATTACTTTCTTACCTTGTTGAACTCTACTATGTATATCTTTCTTGGGGTTCCCTTCTTCAGATATAATACTTCCTAAATATTTATATTCGCTACATCTTTTAATTTCATGTATGTGTAGTTCAGGATCCTCAGTTTGTTCTTCTCCTACTTTCAGGTATTCGGTTTTTGTGAGGTTGATATTGAGTCCCCATCTGTCGTATTCTTCCTCAAGTTTCCTCAACATATAGTCGGCATCCTCCTCACAACCTGCAACAATAACTTGGTCGTCTGCAAAGAACAAGGTCGATAGACAGTGGTTGTCAATCTCTATTCCCATAGCTCTACTCTTCCTTCTCCAGTTTTTCAATGCCTCCTGGATATATATTTTAAATAAGGTAGGTGATAAACTGCACCCCTGTCTAAGTCCTTTGGATGTCAGGAAGGATTCCGATAGGAACTTCTCCTGTCTGATCATACTTTTTGGTTTTTTGTACATATTCCATATTGCATTGATATATGTTTTACTCACATTTGCCTCAACCAGGATTTCAAATAATTTTTTCAAAGGCACCGTGTCATAGGCTTCCTCTAAATCTATAAATACCAGATGCGTGTCCAAATTTCGAGCTCTCCTTTTTTCAATTATTTGTTGTAACACAAATATGTTGTCTGTACAAGAACGCCCAGCGTGGAAACCACCTTGTTCTTCTATTTCTTCAAAAAAAAAGCTCTCTTCTACTCTCTCTTTTAATATCCTGCCATACAACCTTCCCATTGAGACATTGTCAAACTAATGCCTCTGTAGTTGCTACATCTTTTTTTGTCTCCTTTCTTAAAGATAAAACTAAGTAAAAAAAGTCGTATAAATGTATGTCCTAAAATGCTTAGTTTCGGAGTTACAGGGTGTAGAAGTTTCATTTTTATTTCAATCTTTTTCAAATAATTTCTGCAGTAACGTCAATATTTGGATGAAAATTGGTGTGTGGGAGTTTTTTGACATGAGAAATTTGATTTTAATATCAATATGACTCCTATTTGTAGAGGACGCCACGTACATGTGTTTTAACTATTTTGAAGATTAATAACTTTCCGTCCGTACCTGTCTAAAACTACTGAGTGAGAAAATATACATTTCCGTGACTTTTTACGTAAAAAATGTCTCTTGGTAAAAATTGCTACGGGTAATGATTCTCCAGATATTTGGAATCTAAATTATCATGTGTCATTAACATGTTGACTACTGAAATCATAAATTTTAAATGTTTTTGTGTCATAAGTTCAACAGAAACTGTTTTATTATCATTTTTTCGCTGAAAAATATATGATTTATTTGAAAAATTAAAAATTTCACAAATTTATTATTTCAACCAAATCACTATCTACTCAACGTGTTTATTTTTTGTCAATAATGACTTGTATTGACCATTTCCATTCTAAATATCTTGAGAACGGTTGCTCGTAGCGATTTTTACCAAGAGACATTTTTTACGTAAAAAGTCATGCAAATGTATATTTTTTCAGTCAGTAGTTTTATACCGGTACGGACGAAAAGTTATTACTCTTCAAAACAGTTAAAAACATGTAGGTGGCGCCCTCTACAACAAATAGGAGTCATATTGACATGAAAATCAAATTTCTCACCATGTCACCATGTCAAAAAACTCATTTTTTTATCCAAATATTGAGGTTATTTCAGAAATTATTTAAAAAAAAATCGAAATTAAAATGAAACTTCCACACCCTGTATCTCCGAAACTAAGCATTTTAGGATATACATTTATACAAACTTTTTTACTTATTTTTATCTGCAGAATATGCTGCCGAAGTTTCCGGAATACAGTTCGGACCACCCTGTATATTTCAGTATTTATAGTTTGTCTAAACTCCATTAGAATGGTTTGGGGTTCTCCCAATTCCAACCATGGATATAACCATAGATAACAGAGTGTTATCTATGATAAAACCCATGGATTTTTATTAGGCACGAATGGTAGTTAATATTAACACAGATTATACAGATTATAATCTTTGTTTTTCGTGGTTCCAATTTTCGGAATCGGGCACTAGTTAGGTGGGCACATAGCACGCCCACTTATGGCCCCTAAAATTGTGCACAGCGCCTGACCGGCACAGTTATTAGAGAGATATCGGAAAACCAAATAGCGTCATCCAGTATTTACGCGTACCTTATCATGGTTACGATATGCGCGAGTCAACGCAACACCCGCTATTAACGTTACCGCCTGACGCAATTTACGGATCAATTACATCAAGCGCTCTTTCTAAATAACCTCTGATAACGTTTAAAAATTGCTTAAATGGGCATGTGCGGGTATTTGACAACCGGAGCCGGCCGGCGAGATCTTTTATTTTAGGTTATGTTTGAATTGTTTTGAATTATTGCTTTAGTTTTATTAGGTAATTTGATATTTAAGTAGCTGGGATTAGTTTTAATTAAATAAATATGGCTCTAAATATGGATTCCACCTCTTCCAATACTAAAGAACCTATAAAGAGTCTTAGGTTTACAGCAGATGACGACTTAGCCCTTCTAAGAGAATTTGTTGCTTGTTGTCCTAAACCCATTGGCAGGCGTTGAACAATAAAGCACTGGAAATAAGCACTTTAGCCCTTTAGTTTTAAAATACCTAGTAAACAAAACAATTTCAAAGTTAGGTTAAGTTTAAATAGCGGACGCGACGCGATCAGAATTCTTTCCGATCCGATAACTATAAATGAAGAGAGTTAATACCACCTCACGTGAAGGAAATAACACCTGGCCTTATTAACGTCCATGCACGCTATTCGGTTTAGCGATATCTCTCTATTACGCTGTTTATTGTTATTTTACGCGAGTTTATTTTTGGGCACAGGAAATTTGACTCGTTTGCACATCGTCATAAAAAACAATTTTCGTACCACGAATTAGGGATAAGATTTTTATCTGTATACTTATAGGATACCTAATCTGTGATATTAATCATTTTTTTAGGCATTAAACATTTCTGTATGATATGTAACAAGGCATATTCACGAGAAAATGACATGAAGAGTCATATGAAATCACATTTTGGGCCAAATGTTCATCCCTGCGAACTATGTGAAAAAACATTTACATATAAAACCTCTTTAACTCAACATATGCGAATTCATACTGGTAAGTTTTGGGCTTATTTTACTAAACGTCCTACAAACAAATTTGTTAATTTTCTTCATCATTATAATTCATCATGTCAGAAAATGTTATGTTGTGTAGTAAAGCATTGTATAATATATTTTTTCAATGAATGTTTAAAAAAAGTATCGAAAAAGAGTTTCACAAGTGCTGTTTCACATCAGAGCTGCAACAAGTCAGTTTAAAAAAAAAGTCTTAAGTCAAATTCAACACAAAGTTCAAATGATTTAAGTTTTTGACTTAAATCATTTGAAATAAAGGATTTGAAAAAACCCAAGGAAAGAGAGGGGTTCCTTGTCTAAGGAACCCCTCTCTTTCCTTGGTTGAAGGTAATGAAAGTCGTTATTTCCAGGCCAACTTGAGTCGTTTTTTTTCGATCAAAATCCAATTTTAAAAAAGTTGTACCGACTTATAAACATATATTTCAGTTTAAAATTAGGAATTGTACATGAATAAGTATTTTTTTTAGGCGATACAAAATATCAATGCAAAGAGTGTCTTCGCATATTTGTCAGTAAGCGTAATCTAGAGTGGCACGTCCGTGTCCATACCGGAGATAAACCATTCGTCTGCAATTTTTGTGGAAAAATGTTTGCCCAAAAGCCTAACCTGTATGCTCATATGAAAATCCATACTGGGGAGAAAAACCACGCTTGTGAAATATGTGGTAAAGCTTTTTATCGAGTCAGAGTATTGAACAAACACCTGGCAACTCATGCCAAGAATAAAGAACTTTAAGACGCTGAGTAGAAAATTGTATTTGGTATTTGTATAGTTTTTTTTATAAATTTATTTTTTGTAAGATATTTTTTATGTAATATTTTTTGCTGTAGTGTACAAAAATTACTTATAATTACACAGGACATACCTATTTACTTACATGTATGCATTTATCTAGGTATATAAACAAATATGTGGCGCGTTTTTTTTATAAGTTTATTTTTTTGTAAGATATTTTTTATGTAATATGTTTTGCTGTAGTATTACAAAAATTACTTATAATTTCACAGGACATATCTATTTACTTACATGTATGCATTTATCTAGGTATATACACAAATATTGGTTTAAAATTTAAATAAGCACCAAAGTTAATAAAAAAATATGTTACATATATGTATTTTTTATATATTTCATATTTGGTTCATAAGGAGTTACAAGATCATAATCTCTATGATCATAATGATATTTCTCTATATAATTAAATTTAATTAGCAAAATAAAAACACTCAATCACCACAATACACCAAAACACTTTTACTTTTACACTGGACGCGCATTTCGCTAACCTTGTTAGCATCATCTGCAGATGATTATAAACTAAAGTACAATCTACAAGTTGAGCGTTTATATACTCGCCCAGTGGGCACCGAGTGGGCGTGGCAAAATCTAGCCAACTGAGTCAGAACCCACTGAGTGTAACAGTTAGATTTCCGCCACTAGAGTAGTAGGAACAAAGAACTTGAAGGAATTGGACCGTTGTCTCTGTTCATACTATCTTTACATTTATTAATTCCGATGCTTTCATATGCATCTAATTGCCTGTAATTTGAGACTTGTTTAATTAATGTTCTTTATCAACAATATGTTCGGCAACGCAAGATTTATCCGGTCTACCATATCTTATCTGAGCTAAATGTTCTTTAAATCTAGTTAATATTGATCTTCTAGTTTGCCCAACATATTTCTGATTACAATCTTTACAAGAAATTTCATAAATACCCGACCTTTCCAGTGGAGGTGTTTTATCCTTTGGATACCTAATAATTGTTCTATTATTAGCACTATACACAAGTTTATAATTGACATTCTTTAAAAATTCCTTTTAGACCACGGATAACTCTATCAAACGGTATAGAAAAATATTTAGACGTATCTTTCTCCACTTGAAAAGTCGAATTTTCAGAAATCATTAACCTATACCTACGTTTTCTAATTAATTTATCAACTAGTGAAGGAGAATATCCATTACACTCAGCTACATTCCTAATGTAATCTCTTTCTATTTCATATCTTTCGTTGGAAAGTGGGAAACTAAGTAATCTATGAACTAAAATTTAAACTAGCCAATTTATGTTCAACACTATGATGTGATTCGTTAGGAATATATCTGCGTGTGGTCGTATTTTTCCTATAGATATCAAATTCCAGGCAATTATTAGCATTTCTAATAACTAATACATCTAGAAAAGGTAATCTGTCGTTGTTCTCAATTTCAGGCGTAAATTTGATGGAAGGAAAACGATTTTTTAACTTAGAAATAAAATTATCTATGGTGTCTGAATGTGTGTCAAAAACAGCAAAAATATATATAACATGGTTAGCGAAACGCGCGTCCAGTGTAAAAGTAAAAGTGTTTTGGTGTATTGTGGTGATTGAGTGTTTTTATTTTGCTGTGTAACACTAAAGGTTCCAACCCTCAACTGTAAATTTAATTAAATTAAATTAAAAATATTTTTTTTTGGAAATTTTCGAAGTAAAACAACTCCGTTATTTTGGACTTATTTGAAAAACGATAAAGAGAAAATATGTTTCTTTTATCGAGATCTACCATCCCTTAAAATACTTGCACTTATTTTTTGGACACCCTGGATATAGGCCTAGATCAGGCAACCAACTATACAATTGTTTTGATATCTCTGTATTATTTTAATTTTATTACCAAACAATAATTGTTAGATGAAAGTATGACCTATTTAATATATATTAATAAATAAAGAAGTGTTGTACTACCATTATTTTCAGGACAACAAAAATTTTCTAGGTATTAATTGTTTTTATGGTTGCGTACATATAAAATAACTAGCGTGTACCAGCGACTTCGTTCGCGGCGAATTAATCATTTGTAATGGTGATGAAAAAGCACAGCAAGAATTTCCATTACCATACAAACTGGATAAAAAAATTTCACATTTATGTCAGCATGAGAAAAAACAATATGGCCTATATAAACAATATAACTTGGTAATATTTGAGGGGTAGTTTCATCTCGTTGGAATTTGACTTTGGAAAAATCCGTTTGCCAAAAATAAGCTTTTTACGTGAAGCAGTTTAAGCAGAATCGTGGTTAAGAAATCACCTAACTTTTTGGAACACCCTGTATGATTTTTTAAAAAATTTCAAAATATGTAAAAAAACCAAATAAATTATGCTTGTCCAAGCGTTTTCCCGAAAGACTAGCCGTTTTTTAAATAACAAATATTGTAATATTTGAGGGGCGTTTTCACCCTCTTGGAATTTGAGATTCGAGAAACCCCTCCTTATCGAACCTCTGCACCCTACAGTCAATCCGTTTGTCAAAAATCAGAGTCAAAGTTTAAGCAGAATCGTGATTATTCAATGGTCATATTTTATGAAACACCCTGTATAAATTTATAAAAAATCTTAAAATATGTAAAACAACAAAATAAAATATACGTGTTTAAGAGTTTTTCCGAAAAACTCACCGGTTTTTAAATAAAAAATATTTTAATATTTGAGGGCTAGTTTCAAGAACAGTTAACCTAAGAGGACTGCTCATTCAGCCAAAAGTGTCCGCCAGGTGCATGCGAAAACTACTCGCTTTGTGACGTCATTGTAGTCCTTGTCATGGTTATTAGTCCTTATCCGGCAACCAATAATACACACACGTGCATTATTGGTTGCCGACTGCAAAACGTTCATTATTTAGTTTATTTATTATAAATAATTATAATAAACACCTTATATGTATGCAGTATAGAAAATTAACTGTATAAATCGTATTAAATACTCGGATAATGCATTTTTAAGAACAGCATTTCCCAGCATCACCTTTTGCAAGCATTCTTTTTAGAATACTTCCATATTTTGCTTTAAAATAATTAATAAACAATATCGTGGGCACTTAGTAAGCACTTTGTCACAATCTACAACACAAAATGAACGTATTTAGACACTCTATAACTCTAAAAACTTTAAAGACACCTTTTTCACATTTAAAATTGACAAAATAATTAACTCAAAATTTCTCAGCTGTTATTTTTATAAGTTTACCATAGGCAACTAATAATACACACTGTCATGACAAGGCTTTGACTTTGGCTTTGACAAGGACTACAATGACGTCACAACTGTCAGCTGAAGCGCGGGAAGAGGCGAACCTACGTCTTATGAGGATGAGCAATCCTATTAGTTTACCGTTCTTGGGCTAGTTTAAGCAGGATCGTGATTAATCAATGACCAGATTTTTCGAAACACCCTGTATACATTTTTAAAAAATCTTAAGATATGTAAAAAACAAAATAAAATATACGTGTTTAAGCGTTTTTTCGGAAACTTGACCTTTTTTTAAATAAAAAATATTGTAATATTTGAGGGGTGGTTTCACCCTCTTGGAACTGGAATTTCGAAAAATCCCTAGAATCAACCTGTATGCCACAATTGAGCTTCTTACGTTGAGTGGTTTGAGCAGGATCGTGATTAATCAGTATGTCAGTCACTTAAGGATTTTATATATTAGTATAGATATGGTAATTATTTTTTAAAATTTTCATATTAATTATGTATGATTATTAAGGATAAGTTTATAAATAGCTACAAAATGATCAACCTTGACCTTATTTTACACGATGTATGAACTGCTAGTAAACATTCTTTGTACAGTTAAAGATTTACATTTTTATTAGACTTACGATATGTTCGTCTACAGAACTAACGGTTTAAATATAGACAATTTCTAATTACATTACATTGTTTGATTTTGTTTTTTTCCTACATAATGCGTACTTCATGACGTAAATGACCCGACGATAGATTAATATATTATATTAGATGAAATACCAAGACCCCGTTTTCACGTAGTCTTCAAAGTTGATATAAAAAATTCTTCTGCCACACTTTTATCGCGAGATGCATAGCGGTCCAATAGCAACAATATCAGCGGTTAAGATGTCCGTTCTTTCAAACAAAATTAACCCGGTTACCGTTACGGCCGAACCAGCTTCTTACGGTACCAATTCCCTCGCCAAACCGAAACTTATCTCCCGTAGTCAAACCAGTTGATAGTCGATATCAGCGGCGGCCAGTGTTGTTTTTTCAAGATGATGAATCGCCTTGTGCTTTTACTGTCCCTGCTCGCGCTGCACGCCCACGCAGTACCGGTACCCTCGTCCAGAACCAACGGCGGACAGAAGATACTGTACGACGAACGACAGGAAGGCGACTCCAACATACGCGCCGACCTCAAGAACATCATTATTTTCGTCCAATCAAATCCTTCATCATTATCATCGTCCACCTCGTCACCCGGCATGAGCTTGCTGAATATGTTGATGTCCAAAGCCAACCCAAAATTTAAAAACGTCCGTTCGAAATCGCCATTTCTCAAAACCGGTCCCGAAACCAAACATTTTATCGAGTCCAAAACTGCACCTTATCACGTCGACATCGGCAAGAGCGACAGTCATTTGTTGAACGACGAGATCCTGGCTACTCAATCACCTCCGGTTGCGCTGGGTGATCGCAAAAACAAAAGCTCGACTTCCTTGCTTCGCCAACTGAGATCGGTGAAAGCCTTTATCCTGACTGTGCCCGAAGATGATGTGATTTTGAAGAAAACGGTGGAGGACCCCAAGGTCGTGCGGAAGGAGGGGTTGAAGAAGAAGCAGAACAAGAGAAGGAAGGAGGAGATGATGCTGATTGGAGCGCTGGAACAGTGCGGACCGGAAATGTATAGAGACGATGATGGTATTTGTAGAATGAAAATTGGAGACCGGGACGAATAGAATATGTCGATTAGATAATATATTTTTATTTTTATAATTATTTATTTATTATATTTTGTAGCTAATTAAGTATTTAAGTATGTAATGATATAATTAATATATAATATATCCAAGATTCCATATTTTCTTATATATTCTGATAAAAATATATACCGGGTGCGTCTCAAAAGTGGCTCACCCCTATAACCATTTTTTTAGATAAAAAAAACGAGATTTGGTATGTTAGATATGACATAAATTAGGATTGATTGACGTATTCAATTGTTTTTGGTCACTTCCTGTCACCTGAATGACATATCATATGTCAACTTTTGACATTTTCGCTTTAAAAAAAAATCGTTTTTTAAATTTCAATCTAGAGTGCCATGCCATGGATGTGTTAAAAAAAACTAATTATTAATCAAAGAGCCTTGGAAAAATAGATTTGATCGTCTAATGTTTTTCTTGTCTTGTCCTGGTCGGTTAAAAGATACCCAAATCATATTTTCAATCATATCTCATTTTTTTCAAATGGAACAAGGGTAGCTCGTTAGCATATTTGAAAAAAGCATTTTTATACGAATTTATTTGAATAATCACAGACATGGTATTTCGAATGAAATTGTCATTATGAACCGCATTTTAATATTTCAAATAAACCATATGCGCAAATGTTAAAAATTGACATATGATATGTCATTCTATTCACAGTGTCATTTTCTATCCAATAAAGTAAAAATACACCGAAGGTGCCATTTAAAAATCAAAAGCTGTAGTCATTTCCGGTGAAACAGGAAGTGACCAAAAACAGTTGAAGACATGAGTTGATAAAGGTGTCATGTCCCATTTTTTTTAAATCAGTTTTACCCAGTATTTCAACATCTCTTTGACAGATCTATCCCCAATAGACTCTAAATATCAAATACCATAAAGAATATACTAGGTGATGAAGATGTCATGTCACATACACTCGAAACTTTAAAAAAGCGATATGACACCTTTATTCACTCATGTCTTCAATTGAATACGTCAATTAATCCTAATTTATGTCATATATATATATATATATACATACATCATATGTCATATATATATACATACCAAATCAAAAACCAAAAGATACGCTACTGTTTTTTTATAGGTGCAACTGAGTAATTTAGCTACCTTACAGCTACACTGCCAAACAGGAATTTCTAAGCAAAATGGTGATTTTAGCTATAAAAGTCAGAACCGTAACTGTAAATATTGACTGTTGCAAATTATATATTCAGTTCATAGAGGTAAACACAAAATGTATACAAGACCTTTTATTATGCTAAAAAATCCGCAAAAACATTTACAACACAGGCTATAAGAAATTCTGAGCATATACAGTGTGTATCAGTCAAATGAAATAAATTCAATAATAAATAAAATAAAGCGTGTTCAAGAAATCATTGATGAGTCATTTGATATTTTTAGTTGCGCTTTTTTTCAATAAAAACTGTATATAATAACTACAGGGTTGTTCACCACATACGACACGGAATATTGTAGCTAAACGATTAGATTTTTACAAATTGTAAGATTTGGCTTCGTTGAGGGACTATTTGAGCTACAATTTAAAAATATTTTTACAAGATACAGAGTGTCCCAAATAAATAAAAAAATATCAAAGTTGTATTTTTTTAAATGAAACACACTGTATATTATTACATTTTTAGTTTTTACTATTAAAATAAAGGTAAATTTGATTAAGGTTTATTATACTTAAACCTTACCGTTTTTGAAATATTTTCAATTTTGTGAAATTGCAGTATAAATTTTAAGGCTTCATTTCTTCGATATATTGATAAATGAGGTCTAAATTATAAGAAAATGCATTTTCTAAGAAAACTTGAAGGGATAGGTAAAAAGTGGTATAATACTATTTGATAGACAATTAAATTGTGCATCTGATTCTCATAAAATATACAGGGTGTTACATTTAAATTAAACAAGTTATTGCCGCTTAAAGCTAGTGCAATATCTTGTTTAATTTAAATGGAACACCCTATATATTTTATGAGAATCAGATTTGTATTATATCATTTTTTACCTATCTCTTCAAGTTTTCGTAGAAAATGCATTTTCTTGTAATTTAGAACTCATTTATCAATATATCCATGGAATTCTGACATTTTAGATTATTTTTAAAGATATACCAAATTTCTAAAAAGTACAGATACTAATATTGTCGATATAGTTCGTTTATTTCATTAAAAAATAAAAAAAAAAAACTGTTTAAAATATTTGTTAAAGAGGACCGATTAATATGATTCCAGTATTCAAATTACATTAATTGACTGTTTGCGTTGATTAATAATAATTGCTCCAAATACTAAAAAACTGGATTATGTATGTATATTAGACAGTGTGGTAAAAAACACCTTAAAAATGATATTTCATTTTTTGACAAATGCTTATTTATAATAACAAAGACGTTCATTTTCATAACTTATTCTTATATTGATTTCTCATTCAAATCCACATTTATTTAGAATAATTTATTAACGAACACAATTAAGTATGTAATTAATTAGTATTTGGGCGGAAATACTGGTGGTATATTTAATTAATGGTATACTCTTTAATAAAGATTTAAATAGTTTTCTTTTTGCATACAAATGGGCTAGTAATATTATCGTTTTACTAAAAACGATAATATTACTAGACTATACATTTTGTACATTTGTTGTTTTAAAAACAATCTAAAATGTCAATATCCATGGGTATATTGATAAATGAGGTCTAAATTATAAGAAAATGCATTTTCTAAGAAAACTTGAAGGGATAGGTAAAAAGTGGTATAATACTATTTGATAGACAATTAAATTGTGCATCTGATTCTGATAAAATATACAGGGTGTTACATTTAAATTAAACAAGTTATTGCCGCTTAAAGCTAGTAATTATTTAAAATAAATTTTTAGACACTCTGTATAGGGTAGTATAATTTTTATTATTGCAACACAATAACTGACCAATAAACTTCAGTAAATATTTAGTATTAAAAACTTTGATACCCTCGGAGAAATGAGGCCTTCAAATTTATACTGCAATTTCACAAAATTGAAAATATTTCAAAAACGGTAAGGTTTATACCGTTAACGGTATAATAATATACAGGGTGTTTCATTTAAAAAAATACAACTTTGATAGTTTTTATTTATTTGGGACACTCTGTATCTTGTAAAAATATTTTTAAATTGTAGCTCTAATAGTACTTCAACGAACCCAAAACTTACAATTTGTAAAAATCTAATCGTTTAGCTACAATACTCCGTGTCGTATGTGGTGAACAACCCTGTATATCTTATTAATTTTCGAGATTATTCAAAAATTCTAAACGTATTTCGGAAGCTTCCTTCACTTCCTGTATTTTTGATCCTATACTGTACAACAGTTTTATAAATTTTAATAAAATTTAGTAATAAAATACATTAAATAAGTAATTATTTATTAATTTTATTTTAATTTTATTAATTGTGATTAATAAAATTGTATTTACCTCATCAAGATACAACTTTTAATCAGCATTAAATGGCCTACACAGTTTTGCTAATAAGAGGAAAAAAAGTCAGGGGCGCACATGTTTTTTTTAGAAAAATATTCCAGTGATAGCACATAAGCAGTTTTGAGATACTGTGTAAAAATGTAGAACTTATGGTAACTTTTACCCTCCAAATTTCATTTGAATCGGCTAAATGTACTTAGAGAAAATTATTATAAATCGAAAAAAAAATGAAAACTTGTAACCCCCTGTAGCTACGAAAAAAAGAAGAATAGTACATGTTTTTTGAAATACCTTGTATAATATACCGGGTACGTCTCAAAAGTGACTCACCCCCTATAACTTCTTTATTTTTTCAGATAAAAAAACGAGATTTGGTATGTTAGTATATATGACATAAATCAGGACTGATTGACGTATTCAATTCTTTTCGGTCACTTCTTGTTTCACCGGAAATGACAACAACTTTTGATTTTTAAATGGCACCCTCTGTATTTTTTTACTTTATTCGATAGAAAATGACACTCTAAATATAATGACATATCATATGTTAATTTTTGACATTTTCGCTTAAAAGAAAATTGTGTTTTAAATTTCAATCTAGAATGCTAGGGCTGTGTTAAAAACACTAATTTTTAATCAAGGAACCTTGGAAAAATAGATTTGATCGTCTAATGTCTTTAGTGTCTTGTCTTGACCGGATGCCCACAAATCGTATTTTTAATCACATCTCAATTTTTTCAAACGAGGGTAGCTCATTAGCATATTTGGGAAAAGCATTTTTTTGCGAATAATTTGGTACCACATACTTGGTACTTCGAGTCAAATTGTCGTTATGAATCGCATGTTGCAATTTCAAATAAACCATATTCGAAAATGTCAAAAGTTGACATATGATACGTCATTCTATTCAGAGTGTCATTTTCTATTGAATAAAGTAACAAAATACAGAGGATACCATTTCAAAATTAAAAGTTTTAGTCATTTCCGGTGAAACAGGAAAGAGACAGAAAACAATTGAATACGTCAATCAAAAAAAGTTTTATGGCTGAGCCACTTTTGAAACGCACCCGGTATATATTGATGATTTAGATATACTTTGAACTTCATGTATTAAATATATTAGATAAAAAGCAATAAAACTACCGTCTGTACAGTTTTGTGATCACCTGGTATACATACATAGAGACCTACATTATTTTATGACTGTTTTCTTCCATCGTTTACAGCAACTCTATCCTATCACATCACGATTCAACGATCTTGGTATTCGATTATGGACTCTTTGCCTTTCTATATGGCAAAAATGATAGAGGGTCAACGGCATGACCTGGACTCGGAGCCACACCATCTTGGACAGGTTCTTCATGTAGTACCGTTCTTCACGTGGTCTCTTAATTGCCCACCAGTACCATTTCATTTGAAGCCATCAAGCCGTCTGAGTGTAAACAAAATTCCGATAGTACCACTTGTTTCTTTCATTAGTTTTTTTAACTTTATCGGTTGCCATCGCGAGATTTTTTTTTATTGAACCATGATCGATTTAATGTGGTACCTGGGTCTTCCCATGTTCGCCGTGGGTGTTTGTGGCGTCCCCTATAAGCGGGAATCAGAAAATGGAACGAGGTACGACTGGAATCAGTACGACACTGTCTACGATCGAAAACAAACCGGTACTGAAAATCTTAAGGTGAGTTTTTTTTTATTATAATTAAACCAAAATAAAAAAAAATCTTTTTTAAATAAGGTCAATGTCGATGGGGTGTCTTTAATTTGGACTACCAACTCCTTACTGGCTGCAGCGGCCTTGCTTGAACCAGCTCTTTATGGAGAATTTCCTGATTCCAATGTGGATTTGATATTCGGATCTGATGGAGAAAAACCCGAAGATATAGACTTATTTGGAGAAAAACCATCGTCAACGACAAAAAAGCCAGTGGTAATACGAGTATAGCCAGTATTATCACAGATTTTAAATAATCCTTTATTGAATTTTGATTACAGGAAAAACCAAATAAAACTACTTCTCCAACTTCTACAACGGAGACAGTGCCGGAAGTGGTCATCGTCGAGCATAATACACCGAAAGTAGAAAGTTCACAAAAAAAGAGTTCCCCAGGGATTAGGAGGTAACCATTAACAACTAGAGTATAGCATATTAGTTTATTAACACTACCACAAACTAATTATATGTAGTTGTCTTAGTAGTTAGTCAGACAACATAGCGTACCGACCCCCCTATACAAACTCCCGTGGTTCATAAAGGTGTATTTGCACACAGCTTGTATGCAAATATATACAGGGTGAATCTGAAATAAGTGCAAGTATTTTCGACCCCAGAAACAATGAATAATAATGAAAAATAAAATGTTTGGACTTTTTTGAATTTTTCGTTAAAAACCATAATATCTTAATAATATAGCAACATAGGCTGTAGATTATATTTACAAGAAAGAACCTAAAAAAGATTCAGTGGTTTTCAAAATTTCAGCAAAAAAAAACATTTTTTTTTATTTTCAAAGTAAAATAACTCGTTTATTTAGGACTTATTTGAAAACGGTAAAGTGAAAATATTTACACGTATTTCTGACTCACCCTGTGTATATTAGAGATTTTTAAAAAGAGAATCAGAAGGGCAATAACGATAGATTCAAATTTTAATCATGTTTCTTTGTACTATACGAATCGTAGCTTTATAAAACTGAATTGTTGGTAGACTGACCGCATATAAAGATGATGCCAAGCTTGTTGTATGTTTAACATACCGGGTCTTTCTCAAAAGTGGCCTTCTATAACTTTTTTTATTTTTTCAGATAATTTTTAATTATTATATTAATATTTTTCAGATATTTTATCAGACGTATTCAATTGTTTTCGGCCACTTCCTGTTTCACCGGAAATTACTATAACTTTTGATTTTTAAATGGTACCCTCAGTATTTTTTTACTAAATTCATTTGATAGAAACATTCTGAATAGAATGACATATCGTATTCAACTTTTGACATTTTCATTTAAAAAAAATACCATTTTAAATTTCAATTTAAAGTGCTATGGGCATAAATGTAACGACAATTTGACTCGGAAACAGCAAACGTGTGTAGTACCAATTTATTCGTAAAAAAATACTTTTACTTTTACACTGGACGCGCGTTTCGCTAACCATGTTAGCATCATCAGCAGATGATTATAAACTAAAGTACAATCTACAAATTGAGCGTTTATATACTCGCCCAGTAGGTACCGAGTGGGCGTGGCAAAATCTAGCCAACCGAGTCAGAGCCAACTGAGCGTAACAGTTAATTTCCGCCACTAGAGTAGTAGGAACAAAGAACTTGAAGGAATTGGACCGTTGACTCTGTTCATACTATCTTTACATTTATTAATTCTGATGCTTTCATATGCATCTAATTGCCGTAATTTGAGACTTGTTTAATTAATTTTAAATTATTAAGATCTATACAATGTTCTTTATGAACAATATGTTCGGCAACGCAAGATTTATCCGGTTTACCATATCTTATCTGAGCTAAATGTTCTTTAAATCTAGTTAATATTGATTTTCTAGTTTGCCCAACATATTTCTGATTACAATCTTTACAAGAAATTTCATAAATACCCGACCTTTCCAGTGGAGGTGTTTTATCCTTTGGATTACCTAATAATTGTTGTAATTTATTATTAGCACTATACACAAGTTTATAATTTACATTCTTCAAAATTCCTTTTAGACCACGGGATAACTCTCTATCAAACGGCATCGAAAAATATTTAGACGTGTCTTTCTCCACTTGAAAAGTCGAATTTTCAGAAATCATTAACCTATACCTACGTTTTCTAATTAATTTATCAACTAGTGAAGGAGAATATCCATTACACTCAGCTACATTCCTAATGTAATCTCTTTCTATTTCATATCTTTCTTTGGAAAGTGGGAAACTAAGTTATCTATGAACTAGGAAATTTAAACTAGCCATTTTATGTTCAACACTATGATGTGATTCATTAGGAATATATCTGCGTGTGGTCGTATTTTTCCTATAGATATCAAATTCCAGGCAATTATTAGTATTTCTAATAACTAATACATATCTGTCGTTGTTCTCAATTTCATGCGTAAATTTAATGGAAGGAAAACGATTATTTAACTTAGAAATAAAATTCCCAAGTGTTCCAATTCCACATACTTTAGGCTACTTGAAGGAATTACTGAACGCAAATGGTCTCGACAACAAAACTGTGATTGAATATATTGAGCTTACATCGTTATGTATGAAACAAAATTGTTTTCAATTTAATAACAACTTTTTTGAACAGCGGGAAGGTACAGCAATGGGTAATCCATTGTCTCCATTTTTGGCTAATTTATTCATGAGCAGGTTTGAAGTGGAGGCTAAGAATCAGTTTGAGTATTTTCCAAGAGTATGGTTTAGGTATGTGGATGATATTTTTGCTGTTTTTGACACACATTCAGACACCATAGATAATTTTATTTCTAAGTTAAATAATCGTTTTCCTTCCATTAAATTTACGCATGAAATTACGTATTAATTATGTACAGCGCAGAGATAGTTAATTCCGACTTGTCGGAAAGTATCGGTTAGATATTAAGTCCCGAACGGGAGATAGCGGCCTGCGTGCAATGGTAGTACTTTCGTACCACCGAGGCGCATCTATCGATAGTTAAAGAATGGTAAAAGGCTTTTTTTCAGGCAAGCCAAATTATAAAAATAGAAAACAACCAAGCTCACCTGATGATGGAGTAGGGCTCCGAAACCGGTAGTGAGAGCAGGTTGATCCGCATTATGACAAACACAGCGTAGAATTAAATTTCTATATTAGCAGTTAAGTGGCAAGAATCCTTATATAATTTTATTATATACCTCTACTGCAAGAAATTTGTTTTCTATTTTCAATAAATTATTAAAATACCGAGGATGCCATTTAAAAATCAAAAGTTGTAATAATAATTTCCGGTGAAACAGGAAGTGACCGAAAACAATTGAATACGCCAATCAATCCTGATTTACGTCATATACTAACGTACCAAATCTCGTCTATTTATCTAAAAAAATAAAAAAGTTATAGGGGTGGGCCACTTTGGAGAAACACCCGGTATAGTCGATGTTACATAGCAGCAGTACGGGAAATAATTTTGTGTGTGTGCTATATTATTTTATAGCATTAGAAGAAATATATCTAAGTTCACGCTCATGGATTATTTTAAACTTACCATTATTACAAACAAAAGGCGGTCGCAATGCAATAGTGTCACTGACAGAGGCGCCACTAGGGGGGGCTAGGCGGGACTTAGCCCCCCTATGACTGGTACGTGTCGCATAAAATTGGCTTTAACCTCAAATCAATTCAAAAAAGACTTGAGCTCCCCTAAAAGTCTGTGTCTAGTTGCGCCCCTGGTCACTGTTAACGCGACAGGTTCATCTTTAGATGCGGCCACTCTACTTGGCAGATCTTGGCGCTTGAACTCTTTTTAAATCAGTAAGACTTAAGTCGGTATCTACAAAATTTACTAATAAAAATTATTGTGTTTTTCTAGGAGAATTCAGTGGCCACAGCTATTAAAATCAGTTCTACGTAGCAGAAGTCCCGAACCCGAAGCTGACGAATAACTAATTTAGTGTTTGATTAAAAGAAAAATCATTCCCAGTAAATTATTTATTTATTACCTATTTATTAAGATATTTTTTATAGCTGTAATTTAAGCCAGTTATTTTTCATAACTTTACTATAAGCTATTTATTTTTATATGTTAAAAGAACTAAGAAATAATATAGATTCATAAAAAATATTTGTTTCATTTCGAAATTGCAGTTGTCGACTAATATACAGTATGTCCCATTGTTCCAGTTACTGATTTTATCTTTGAATAAGAAGACTAAGGAAGGAGCATAATGCTATCCATGTATTCATGCATGGTGGGCGGAAAAGCCACCATAAAAGCTCTCTAGGGTGGGGATCCTTGACAGTTCTGTTTGACGATTCATTTGACACATTTGAATTTAATTGGAAATTTTGTAGATTTGTCAGTCTTTACGGAGCTTATTTTATGTCATTTGTTATTTATTCTACTACTGATAGTTGTATAAAGGTAGTAAATCTAGATGGAAATTGTGGCAGAACTTAAATTCACAGTGACACTATCGCGATTTATCGAAAAAGACTCTAAAATAGTTGGCTGTGTAGCGTGCGGTAGATCTCGGTAAAAATCGAGTGAAATAATGGAACAACTTTTCGCTAGTAAGTGACTATATAATATACATACGTGTAGTAAACCGATCATTTATGAAATTCACTTTAATTAACTAAATTATATATTTTTCTTGCATTTTAGCTTTTATTTATTCCTTGTCAAACATTAGATGCATGGCTGAGAAACTTAAATGGAAATGACGGTTCATTAAAAATAGTTTTTCCTCCAAGATGCAGAGGCGCAAAATATTAAAACTGTCAATATTAACAATGCAAATGTCAATATCTGACAATAATAAAATTTGATTTTTAACTGTCACTCAGAGACGCTTTTGTTGTGATTTTACGGTTTGATTTCGTTTTGATTTGTCTAATTATTGTAAAATTAAATTCCTTCAGAGTTTTTGCCAGTATTCTGTTTTAGATAATGTTTTTTAAAAATGGTGGGACAATTTGTGTTTTGTATAGACTCTTGTACTACACTTGTTGTACTTGACTTGTTGTACACCTGGTTTCCGAAGGATACAATGGTAAGTAAATTAAACATATCTACTTACAGTTATAGATTTATTAAATTAGTACTGCTAATAAATGCTACTTGCTGAGCAGTTATTTAATTTTATTTACGGTGCATGTAAGGAATTAAGGACGCGCGTTGTGTTATATTAGCACGATCAGCAGATGATTACATCTAATTTAATTTGTTTTTATTATTTCAGGTCTCAAACGGAAACAAACTGGGAATCTTGCCTACACCAAAATTATATAGCCGTTTCCAATTCACTTCAAAGGGAGGAAAATTATGTAAAACTGTCTGCTATTTGCAGAAAACCGCCAAAAATTAAATTATAACTGTAACAACTTAATATATACTATTTCTAGTCTTTTTAATATATTTTTTAATGAATATCCGACATATAAGAACACTTTGTATGCTTTTAATTAAGTTGATTTATCGTTTATAATATGTTCGACCTAATTAAAAGCACACAAAGTGTTCTTACATGTATGTCTAAATTTATTTTAAATTAACTAAAACAACGCCCCTTCCCCGCACCCCTCTCTTCCATTAGTATTTCTTCCTCCATCTACCAGAGCGCCCTTGTATAATAAAAATTGAAATGTATTATAAGTTGCCTATCTATTTAATAGTATAAGTCTTTTTATCTATGCATTAGATGTCAAAGAGATTTAGATACGCGTTAATGACTTCTACCTGCTTCAGTAGCGTATCGGATGTTTGTGTTAATAAATACTTATTATAACTTATCTATTTTTATTAGAATTATATATTTTTATAACAATTTTAATAACTACCAACATTTATTCACAACGTAAAATAAAACAACAAATTATTGAGTCTACCCCACGTCATAGTTTTACATTTTTTAAATAAAATTAGAACGACATTGATAAACCGGAATTTAAGTCGGCCATATTTGAGGCCCATCGCGGTGTACCAAGGGTGTACCTAAGATTTTTGATATGCTCCTTCCTTAGTCTTCTTATTCAAAGGATTTTATATTTTGATTTGTATTATTAATTTTTCTGTGATAATTTTATTTTATACCCACATTTTATTTCATATACAGGATGAGTCTTAAATAAGTACAAATATTTTCAGGGCTGGTAGATCTCGATAAAAGAAATATATTATAAAGTTATTAACAATATTAAAAAGTTATTTTTAAATGTACTATAGTATAATAAACTATAATATAATCTTTAACAATCTATAGTCTATATCAGTTTGTATTTAATTTAAGGTTTATATCAACTTGATTATAAGTCGTCTGTCTAATGAGAGATTAACATTGACAGTGACTGTTACCTGTCATTTTTATTCACATGTAAATTGTATTTTCATGCAATCTCTAGAAATACTTATTCCGTATCCCGACAGAGTTCATCAATAGGATTTTGGATATACATAAAATACGTTTATGCGTATAGTCTGTCCAACGGGAGGATCTCTGACAGTGACAGATGTGTCTGTCATTTTAATTCACAGGCAAATTGTATTTTCTGTCATTTTTCGTATGTCGTCTGTCCATTTTTTTTCTGCGTCATTGAACAGACTATACAGGGTGTTCTAGAAATAAGTGCAAGTATTTTTTAGGGGTGGTAGATCTCGATAAAAGAAACATATTTTCTCTTTATCATTTTTCAAATTAAGTTATTTTACTTTGAAAATTTCCAAAAAAAAATGATTTTTTGCTAAAATTTTGAGAACCACTGGATTTTTTTTCTTGTAAATTTAATCTAATACCTATGTTGCCATATTATCAAGAAATTATATGTTTTTTAACTAAAAAAAAATCCAAAAAATTTCAAAAAAATTCTGATTTTCAAAATTTTTTTTCGCGAAAAAAACCTCATAGGCGTGTTTCTGGGGTTGAGCTACATATACTACCAGTTAAAATACTTGCATTTATTTCTGTGATACCCTGTATATGGATTTTTACAGTTTTAAAACATAGAAAGGCAATAGATTTAAATAAACATATAGCTCGTTTAATTAAAAAAGCATTAAGAGCTCTCATATATTCCGTTACGAGCATTAAGAAAAAAGATATCGAATCATTTCCTTTTTACAAATTTCGGTCACACGTACATATGTAATTAAAGGCAAAAAAACCTGTTCAATATATACTGAATCTAATTTCAAGAAGATAGCGGTATATTAAATCCATTAAATCCAATAGGAACTGGGTATATCATTTTACGGTATCGTACCAGAAGAGAATAAAAGAAATAAAAGTTGTAAATGTAATGTAATAAATGTAAAGGCATTTTACTTGGTCAAAAGTTCACATATACAGTTTGTATGTGGGTTACCAATAAAATTTATACAGGGTGTTTCAAAACAAATGCGAAAAACTTCAGGGGGTGATTCCTTGTTCAAAATAAAGGGTAGTTTGCTTCATAAACGTTGGGTCAAAAGTCAACCATTAGGGAGATATCGCGGTACAAAGATGGCGGAAAAATAATGTTCTTATTTTTTATCTTGAAAACGAAAAGAGATAGACTAATGAAATTTTATGGAAGCATTACTGTTATGAAAACACACTTTCTGGTAATTTTTTCACTTTTTTAAAATGAGTGGAAGGGGTTGAAATAAACTACCCCTATCATTCTTGTTAACGAAATTTAAAGAAAAATCTTATCAAACACATGCAAAAAAATTAATTTAGTTTAGTTTGTTTATATACTTTTTTATCTCTTGTATTTTTTTTATGAAACTCACCGATTTGAAATTAAAAAATAAAATGTAAAGCATTACATGTCAGGACTAAAAATATTTTTAGATTAAGAATCTAGTGATAATAATGATAATAATAATAATCTAGATAATAACGTATTGCAGTAGGGTAATGTCAAATAAAACAATATTAGAAACATCCTAAAAAGTGAGTGACAGCGGCCGACTAGATTTTTTCCTAAAAAAATTACAGCTGCCCACTAGATTCTTTATCTAAAAATGTTTTTTGTCCTGACATGTAATGCTTTACATTTTATTTTTTAATTTCAAATCGGTGAGTTTTATCAAAAAAACACAAGAGATAAAAAAAGTTTCTAAATAAACTAACTATCAAAATTATTTTTTTTTGCATGTGTTTGATAAGATTTTTCTTTAAATTTCATTAACAGGAATGATAGGGGTAGTTTATTTCAACCCCTTCCACTAATTTTAAAAAAGTGAAAAAATTACCAGAAAGTGTGTTTTCATAACAGTAATGCTTCCGTAAAATTTCATTAGTCTATCTCTTTTCGTTTTCAAGATAAAAAATAAAAACATTATTTTTCCGCCATCTTTGTACCGCGATATCTCCCTAATGGTTGACTTTTGACCCAACGTTTATAAAGCAAACTACCCTTTATTTTGAACAAGGAATCACCCCCTGAAGTTTTTCGCATTTGTTTTGAAACACCCTGTATATCTACCTGTATAGAGCTTTCGAGATACACAAAAATGAAAATAATTTTTGGACTCAGGTTATTTTTTCAGTTTTGATACAGGAAAATAAAACACTAATTCACCGCGATACACCACAACACTAATTTTAAACACTGGACACTCGTTTCTCTACCATGTTAATTGTTTAAAAAAATGTGTCTAAAAAACTAAATTTTATTTTTTATACAGGGGTGGTCCGAACTGTATTCGGCAGCATATTCTGCAGAATAAGTAAAAAAGTTCGTATAAATATATGCCCTCCTAAAATGCTTAGTTTTGGAGATACAGGTTGTAGGAGTTTCATTTTTATTTCGATTTTTTGCAAATAATTTATGAAGGAACGTCAATATTTGGATAAAAATTGGTGTCTGGAAATTTTTTGACATGAGAAATTTTATTTTGATGTCAATATGACTCCTACTTATTACTTATCTAAAAAACACAATTTCTTGATAATATGGCGACATAGGTAGAATAATAAATTTACAAGAAAAGAGACAGTGGTTCTCAAAATTAAAAAAATATACATATTGTTCATTGGGAATATATATAGTGTAGTTTACAGTTGAGGGTTGGAACCTTTGGTGTTACACAGCAAAATAAAAACACTAAATCACCACAATACACCAAAACACTTTTACTTTTACACTGGACGCGCGTTTCGCTAACCATGTTAGCATCATCAGCAGATGATTATAAACTAAAGTACAATCTACAAGTTGAGCGTTTATATACTCGCCCAGTGGGCACCGAGTGGGCGTGGCAAAATCTAGCCAACCGAGTCAGAGCCCACTGAGCGTAACAGTTAGATTTCCGCCACTAGAGTAGTAGGAACAAAGAACTTGAAGGAATTGGACCGTTGTCTCTGTTCATACTATCTTTACATTTATTAATTCTGATGCTTTCATATGCATCTAATTGCCTGTAATTTGAGACTTGTTTAATTAATTTTAAATTATTAAGATCTATACAATATTCTTTATCAACAATATGATTCTTTAAATCTAGTTAATATTTTAAATCTAGTAAATATGCTGGGAATATTAGAAAATCAATATTAACTAGATTTAAAGAACATTTAGCTGAGATAAGATATGGTAGACCGGATAAATCTTGCTTTGCCGAACATATTGTTGATAAAGAACATTGTATAGATCTTAATAATTTAAAATTAATTAAACAAGTCTCAAATTACAGGCAATTAGATGCATATGAAAGCATCAGAATTAATAAATGTAAAGATAGTAAGAACAGAGACAACGGTCCAATTCCTTCAAGTTCTTTGTTCCTACTACTCTAGTGGCGGAAATCTAACTGTTACGCTCAGTGGGCTCTGACTCGGTTGGCTAGATTTTGCCACGCCCACTCGGTGCCCACTGGGCGAGTATATAAAACGCTCAACTTGTAGATTGTACTTTAGTTTATAATCATCTGCCGATGATGCTAACATGGTTAGCGAAACGCGCGTCCAGTGTAAAAGTAAAAGTGTTTTGGTGTATTGTGGTGATTTAGTGTTTTTATTTTTTGTATTGTAGTCCTAAATGTTTAATTTAAAAAACCGTTTCGTTTTTGAGATTGGCAGTTTTTGTTCCGGAGATATTCGTTGTTAAATATTTCGGAAAACAGAAAAAAAAAATACTTTTTTTGTAGCTTTCTCAAATAACTGAAAATCTCTTAGAGATATCGGTAAACAGTGTGTTGCAGTCAATTCTACGTAAAATGGACTATCAGTAAGAATATTTTAGTTGCGATCTGAGACGCAATATATATATTTTGAATCATGAATATGCGTAATTCTATTTTGTATTTTTCGTTATGACCCTCAAATATTTTTCCAAAAAAATAATCGAAATAATTACAAAGAAATTCTTCGAGAAGTGGCCGAATACGAAGAGAAAAAGGCCATCTGGAGTCGACTCCCTACGGTAAAAAGATGACGATCGCTCCTTATAACGATATTAATCGCGATAGTAACTGGTCGTCATCTGTTTGGCGCACTTCTTCGCCAGCAACCGTATACCGGACCAAAGAAACTGTAGTACCATCAAGGAATATCATAAACTGTAGTACCATGCTACGATTACGAACGGTCTTGGCTTTGACCGTGCTGTCATGGGCGATCTTGGCGGTTAAGGGGGCACCGCACCGAGGCAAAAGCAAAAATAACGATCGACCTAGGATCGTTTACGATCAGAAACAAACGGGTGATTTTAATTTGCAAGTGCATTTAAAGGATTTACAGATTATTGCGATCGTAGGGGATGAAGCTCTTGGCGTAAGTTATATTTCTATATTTTATCATTGTTTTTGAGTAATTTTTGATTTAATTTTTGCATGTTTGACCACTTGCCTAATCGTTTTATCAAATTAAAATTATTCTCTTTTATAACTCTTTCAATATGTATGTGTATATTTTTATAAAATTCGTTTAATATCATTACATATATCTTTTTTACAATAAGCGCATTATAGAGGGTCCGGTAATAGTGTGTTGGGCATCTGTAGCTCCTAGAATAAAAAACTTAGAAATTTTGTTTCAGTGCAAACCTAAAGTATGTACTAGGATGCATTTCAGGAGAATATATTAACTTCTATAGGGTGGCTCAAAAAAGTGTGTGTGGATCGGGATGATTTTTTTAAATGGAACACCCTGTATATTATTTTTTCAATAGATGGAGAATTAAAAATTTAAAACGGTTTCGCAGATATTCCCAGTTGTGTATTTCATATAGCATTTTCCACAGTAAATTTTTATCAAAGCCAGCCAATGAGTTTTTCTCTCGTATTTTACCATTGAAAGCGCCATATGAAATAATACTGCGTGTATCCGGAAAACTATTAAGAATTTTGAAATGCTTTAAATACAAAAAATGTTCATTTTTTAATTCTCCATCTAATAAAAAATAATATACAGGGTGTTCCATTTAAAAAAAACAAGAAAAATTATTTTATATTTTTGAAAGTTTGGTGTAGAATATTGGACATCCTGTATGATTTACGATTACCATATTTATAGCAAAATAAGAACAGACCATCTAAAGTAAATACCTAATATAGTTTTTGATTTCAGAACAGTTCTTGTATTTTTAAAATTTTTTTTAAGAAGGGTTGAAAAATATATATTTTTGATTTATTTTTTAATATCTCCGAAACTATCGAAATGGATTTATTCATATCTTAGGATTATGTAAAGTGATCTGAACGGAAGCCAAAAATGCAATAATATACAGGGTGTTCCATTTAAAAAAATCATCCAGATCTACTCACACTTTTTTGAGCCACCCTATAGAAGTTAAAATATTTTCCGCAAATACATCCTGGTACATACTTTAGGTATGCACTTAAACAAAATTATCAAGTTTTCTATTCTAGGAGCTACAGATGCGCGACGCACTATTGCCGGACCCTGTATATTTTTAGAGATGGCATGAGGTTTTATCGCGAAAAAATATTTTGGAAATTTTTAATTTTTAGAAATATTTTTTGATTTGATTGACAACCACTGGCTTTACTACAGGGGGTCCAGTGGTGCCGGGCCCACCCTTGGTACAGCTGGGCACCCCTCAGAGAAAACTAGAATTTTCACTAAATTATATCTCTTACTCTTTATGTTTTAAAAAATTAAAACCCTAGGCACCGCTCAGGATGAATTACTAGTTACTAGAGACAAACACAGTAACTTAGAAGAATACAGACACACGGAAAATCTAGTGGTTCTCAAAACTTAAGCATTTTTTTTTATTTTTAAAGTAAAATAATTGGTATATTTTGTCCTTTCTAATCGATACAACCTGTATAGCTAGCTCCAAGTAATTTCTACTCGACCCTTTTTCTTGATCTGATACGGTACGATCAAAAAGTTTTATGATGCTAAAAATAATTAAGCATTATTAAGCTTATATATTTTACTATCAATTTTTAAATCTTCAGAATTAAAAAAGAATTAAAAAAAATTCTAAATGGATGATATCACAGATTATACAGATTATAAACTTTGTTTTTTCTTTTTTGTTTTTCGTGGTTCCAATTTTCGGAATCGGGTACTAGTTAGGTTACTAGTTTGCGCACATAGCACGCTCACTTATGGCCTCAAAAATTGTGCACAGCGCCTGACCGGCACAGTTATTAGAGAGATATCGGAAAACCGAATAGCGTCATGCAGTATTTACGCGTACCTTATCATGGTTACGAGTCAATTTTTAACGCAATACCCGCTAATAACGTTACCGCCTGACGTAATTTGCGGATCAATTACACCAAGCGCTATTTCTAAATAACGTAAAAAATTGCTTAAATGGGAATATGCGGGTATTTACAACCTGGGCCGGCCGGCGGGATTTTATTTTAGGTTATGTTTGAATTGTTTTGAATTATTACTTTAGTTTTATTAGGTAATCCGATATTTAAGTAGCTGGGATTAGTTTTAATTAAATACATAAGGCCCAAAATATGGATTCCACCTCTTCCAATATTAAAGAACCTAAAAAGAGGCTTAGGTTTACAGCAGATGACGACTTAGCCCTTCTAAGAGAATTTGTTGCTTGTTGCCCTAAACCCACTGGCAGACGTTGAACAAGAAAGCACTGGAAATAAGCACTTTAGCCCTTTAGTTTTAAAATACCTGGTAAACAAAACAATTTCAAAGTTTTAAATTCAAAGTTCAAGGTTAAGTTTAAATACCGGACGCGACGCGAACAGAATTCTTTCCGATCCGATAACTATAAATGAAGAGAGTTAATACCACCTCACGTAAAGGAAATAACACCTGGCCTTATTAACGTCCATGCACGCTATTCGGTTTAGCGATATCTCTCTATTACGCTGTTTATTGTTATTTTACGCGAGTTTATTTTTGCGCACAGGAAATTTTACTCGTTTGCACATCGTCATAAAAAACAATTTTCGTACCACGAATTAGGGATAAGATTTTTATCTGTATACTTATAGGATACCTAATCTGTGATGATATTTTCAGGGTGATTACGACTACGCATATGATGATTCCGATTTCACAATTAAGCCACCACATAAACCATCCACCAGCACTACTACCACATCGAAACCAACCACAACATCAACAACCACAACCACAACGACCTCCACTACTACTGCAAAACCATTTACCCACATTCCCGTTATAATCACTTCCACAGAAGATGGCGTGAAAGATAACGCAATTAAAGGACTCCTAACGCCAAATGACACTGAATCTGATGAAACAACAACCCAAAAAATCACCACCAGCAGCTCAGAACCGCTGATATCTGGAGAGACGGTTGCCATGGCTCCAGGTAAAATTAAAGTCCAGATTTTAGGATCGCCTTCGGCTGCTATGGGAGAACTTTCGCCGCCGGCTGGTATAATTCCTGGAGAAGATATCCAGAGTGATATTGGAGAAACTGTTTTGCATGGAGAAATGGCTAGCTATCGAAAATGCGCCACTGGATATTCAAGGGACAAGAAAGGAAGATGTAGGAGAGTGAGGAAACCGGTGACATCAAACTTGTAAGTATGGTGTTTAAAAATGTAGAAAAAAAAGTATGTAGAAATGTTGATGCCACTCTAGAAAATTGCATATTTAACCCAATATGGCTGACTATTTCATAACAAAACTACAGGATGAGTCTTAAATAAGTGCACATATTTTTAGGGGTAGAATATTTCGACCCCCTCGATTTTTCTGGAAAATATCGAAATTTTTCTATTTTTCGAAAAAAATTGATTTGTTTTTAATTTTCTTTGTAATATCTTGATAATGATAATATAGCTATGAAGTAGTTTGGTTTGGTTCTCAAAACTTAAACAATATTTTCTCTAAATTTTCAATTTTCAAATATGTAAAAAAACTTGGCTATTTTGGCCTTATTTGAAAAACGACAAAGAGAAAATATGGTTTTTTATCGAGATATACCGAAGATATGTGATTTTATTTAAGACTCACCCTGTATATATAATATATAATATACCGGGTGCGTCTCAAAAGTGGTTCACTCCTATAACTGTATTTTCTCAGATAAAAAAACGAGATTTGGTTAGTTTATTCGATAGAAAATGATACTCGAATAGAATGGCGTATCACATGTCAAGTTTTGACATTTTCGCATTGTGGTTTATTTGAAATTGTAACGTACGGTTCATAACGACATTTTGACTCGAAATACCAAATGTAAGATATCAAATTATTGGTAAAAAATGCTTTTTCCAAATATGCTAATGGGCCACCCTCGTTCCATTTGAAAAAAATGGGATATGATTAAAAATACGATTTGGGCATATTTTAACCAGCCAAGACAAGAAACGAAAAGCATTATATACATAAGTAATCATATCTATTTTCCAAGGCTCCTTGATTTTGAGGCTCCTTATTTTTCAGCGAGAATTTCAAAAGTTGACATATGATATGTCATTCTATTCAGAGTGCTATTTTCTATCGAATAAAGTAAAAAAAGGTAGAGGGTGCCATTTAAAAATCGAAAGTTGTAGTCATTTCCGGTGAAACAGGAACTGACAGAAAATAATTGGATACATCAATCAATCATAATATATGTCATATAGTAACATACCAAAGTTTATCCAACACGAGGAACGTGACAATGACAGTTTCCTATCACTCCAACTCACAAGTAAACCGTATTTTCATGAATCATTTTATGTCATTTTATGAATGTCTGTCAAAACCTTGCTTGACTCGTTGAACAGGCTTTAGCGAAAATTAATTTCGCTCTTTTTCATATTTTTAATACTGATCTTTAATTTTTAAGTTTCATTTATTATAATCATTATCAATTATTATTTATTTAAAACTAAATTTTAACTCAGTTTAGTTAGTAGCATTATTAGTAAAAATATTTAGAGCTATGATTAAAGAGCTTTGAAATAGTTTTGAAGCAGCGTCTGAGGTCAAAAGATGTAATTTTTATTGAAGAAAATGTAAAAATTAAGCAAAATTTCTTTTTTTTTAGATTTGGTAGATTAACGAGCAACTTGGCCAGCAAACTGAAACTATCCACGCCTGAAGACCGCTCTGTTCCATAATAATTTAATTATATCATTTATTTAAGGATAATTTATTTAAATATATTTATTGTTCTTACTTGTATTTCAATTATCATAGGTAGTGACGAAAATTCAATTTTAATACTTTAATTTAAAAAAAGATTCCCCCCCCCCCCATAGTAAAGGTTTTTTTTACATTTCAAATGAAAAAGAAATACTAAAATATTAAACCATATGATGAAAAAAACGGCGTCAGATATGGTTTGGAAATCAAGATCGCTGTCATTTTGTTTGTAAAATTATATAGGGAATTTTTTTCCGATCATACGGTATATATTTCTGCAAAATCACTATAAAGTTTCCCTTTACAACTGTAACTTGACAGCAGGATTTGACGTAAAAAATACCTACATAATAAGAAAAATAATCACAAAAAAATCTATTTTATCTTTAAACTAAAAGAAACAAATTCGTATACACTAAATACAAAATATATTGTCTACCTTTACTATAACGTGCCGATCAGTTTTCTATATTTTATCTGATCGTTATACATTTCTAAGAACACTCTGTATTTTCTGTCGTGGAAATCGATGATGTTTTGATCGGGGAAAACAGCTTTTCCATTTCCACCCATTGACTGGATCGCGTGTTCCAATGTGTCGAAATGATTGGCCGCTACAGCTCCTACAAGAACAATGAGAACTTGAGGTATGAAAAAATAAGGTATTCCCTCCAGTAAGAAAATTAGCAAGATTAAGGTAAACTTACCCAAAATAGCAGAACCAAGTAAAACGCTTTCAATTTCATCTGGACATACTACTGGAAGATTGCAAATATTGGCTTGTTCCGCAGTAAAAATGGGGTTTTTACTCAATCCACCACATATCAAAGTCGATTTGATGTTTTTGTATCCTGATTCTTTCAATCGATCAATTATTTGCCGTGTTCCATACTAAACAAAAATAATGTTCTTTAATAAAAGATGTTGAAAATTAATTTAGCTTTTTAAATTTTAGATAAAATTGTATTTTAATTTTTTAAAATAATTTACATCGAGTTTACTAAAGCAGAAATAGAGTATTGCAAGAAAAAATCTGAGAAATGGATGTTTCTAAAATAATTATAAAATAAATATTACTGTAAAAAATTACTGTTTAACTTACGCAAAGGGCTTGTACTGTGGCTAAATAAAGTATAGCTAAATTTTCCTCATCACTAGCAAGTGACAAACCACATATCTGAAATAAAATGTCACAGGTAAAATTAATCTCTCGAAAATAGTATATTGTATATTGTTTTATTAGGAGCAAAAATTATACTTTTTATGCCGAGACTGTTATTACAGGGGAGGCACAAAAAGTAATTTTTACTCCGATAATAGAACATGCTATTTTATTTTTAAGCCTGAAAGTGTTTTACTTATGCCGTCGCAAAAATTAATACCTTATGATCGAAAAAAACGGCGGCCATTTGGCTTGGAAATGACACGATCGTTGACATCCCCATTATAATTTTACATATAAAATGACAGCGCTCAGCATTTCATACCCATACAAGTACGTTTTTTTTTCGATCATACGGTACTTTTGTGACGTTTGAAAAAAAATTCTTACTATTCCTTTCAATGTGGGATCGCCAAGTAATCTGTTCCCGTGAAAATCTGGATAAACGTGGAAATCCTTCGTTAAAAAAGCCACATTGGAAAGACCTTGACTCTCTGTCATCTTATAAAGTAAGTCGTTCAGATACTGAACAATGTGCCTGAAAGTAAAGAATATACTCATTGTATTATTAAAAAAAAACGTCATAGTAGTCTTTGAAAAGATGGTATAGGTAGATGCATCGCAGTAAGTACTTCTTATATCTTACATGTTGCCAATTTTTTTGCGAATCTCTGATGATGCCGGATGTGTATCGATCACGTGATCGACTAATTTGCCCGTTGCGCTTTGACCACCTTCATTCAACCACATTCCAGGAATCATGGCGCTCTTATACGGGCCCCAGACACCTGGGACGAATATTGCCTCTTTGGAAACGGCCATGTGGCATGTAGACGTCCCGCATATCAAACCTACAAATGATGTTAAAAAGGATATTTTGAAAATCATTAGCTATTCACGTTAATTTATATAAATATACAATCGAAAAAGGTATTAAAGTTGGTTAAAATTATATGGAGAATGTTAGCGATCGTCATCTCTAAGGTCTTTTTTCGACCATACAGTATACCCAAGTAGCATTTTCACGACTTGCGACCACATGTTTACTAAACACAATGTTGGATTAGTTACAAAAAATAGTTAGCTCCCTACCTTAGGTATTAAAATAAATTTAAACGTTTTTATAACGTTGTGCCGACGTTGGACTAGTACTACAGCAAAGTAGAAGCTCCTGCGACGTCGAATAAACGTTGTCTTGTAACCTTTTTTGCTTAAGTGATCTTTAGGTGATTCGGACAACGTAGTTACAACGTTGGACAATATAGAGTTTTCCGACGTCAGTTTCAGGACCTATCCCAACGTTATGCAAACGTCGTCTGTTTTACTAATTCCAACGTTGTCTAGATTTCCTTATTCTTACGTTGGTAGGACGTCGAGTCACTACCTTTTTGCAACTGTATTGAACCATAACCTTAAATCTTAAATTTTCACTTCATTGTTCTGTTCAGTCAGGCAGTTCAGTGCTGTTTTTGTTTTTATAAAAAAAACTTTATTAAAATGGAACATAAGAACATATAAAATTAAATTTACATATAAATTAAATTTAAATATACATCGTATATTATAAGGTACATATAAAATTAAATTTAAATATACATCGACATATATTACCGATAGTTTATCCACTCCCTCGTTTATTTAGATTATAGAGGGCGGCACAAGCTAGACTCTAGGATGACTAAATTAGGCAATCTTGCGACTAGTATACCACCTGTTAAGGCCGAACTGCGACTTTATTAGTCCAGTATGCGACTACTCGAACTACTCCATCTTAATCTCCAAAACAACAAAGTGAAAGAGGCCATGTTGTTAAATAAGAAAATGTTTCGTTCCTAAAATAGCAATTCCTGCTTTTTGAATACATTAACTTGAAATATTTGACCCTAAAAAACACGCGGAAACAATTTTTTCGACTGCGAATAAATTATTCGCATTTTACTAAAAAAAAATTCAAGAAAATTTTTAAAACTTCTTTAATTTTAAGGCCCATTAGTATTTTTCAAAGTAGAAACAATACATTTATCAATAAAGTTGTTTGCGTTTAACTTTTTTGCCTTGGGTAACGAGTAGATCGTAATTCAGAGTCGGTTAAAGTGTTTCAATAATTATGATCTTCAAACATCCTCCATACTTAAATACTTTTCTTTTGTTTTCCTTCACTGCCATCTGACATATGTCTCTAACTAAATCATAAAAATAATAATTTTACTATAATTATCCCAATTTAGGATAAAACGCGACTTAGACGCCATATTAGTTTTGTATTTCTGTGAATTAGGATTTTAAACAACGTTGCAGTTTGTAGTAAATTAGGCTTCGAGCCAACGTCGATATCCAACGTCGTTTCGACCCAAAAGTTATTCTCCAAACTAGTGCAGACTAGGGTTGGCACGAGGTTGTGCCGACGTTGCGCGCCGACGTTTGGTCGCGTGACACAACGTTGTCCCGACGTCCAAATGCTGCTTGGGTAGTGATATACCGGATATACCATATTTAAACATTCAACTTGGACACAAATTGTACAGTATACATTTCGTTTAAAAAACTGATTTGTCTGTAAAATATACTTGAAACATCCTGTATATCTATGAAAAATAGTTTTTATAATGTGCACTACCAATGTGCGCATATCATTTTTAATTATATGGAACTGTGAGTTACCCTCTATATATACTTGTAACACAGAAGAATGAATGTGACTCGTCTCTTTGACCGAGTCCATTATTTTAAAGAGAGGTAGACAATTAATTTGAGTGAAAATAAGGTGTAACTCATCAGAAGTAATCAATAAAAGCTTTAGTTTATCCAAAAAATCCACGAGTGTTTACTACTTAATAGACGGATCAACCCATATAAAATTAGCACCCCACGTTGGGCGCCAAAGTATCAACAATTATGACAAACCCGTTATCTACTTAATTTCTTACTTCAAAAATGATGGTGGTGATAGGTGATATACCCCTTCAAACTTTAAGATAATCTGTCAGTTAAGGAAATGTATGTTGAAGTAAAGAACCACGGAAAAATCGGTGTTCGATTCGCTGACTATGAATTATAATAAATAATAATATAATACGGAGTAATCAAGGCATCATGTGCCTGTCATGATAGGAGAATTATCAAACTTGTTGAGTGCTTACTACTTAATAGACGGATCGACCCATATAAAATTAGCACCCCACGTTGGGCGCCAAAGTATCAACAATTATGACAAACCCGTTATATACTTAATTTCTTGCTTCAAAAATGATGGTGGTGATAGGTGATATACCCCTTCAAACTTTAAGATAATCTGTCAGTTAAGGAAATGTATGTTGAAGTAAAGAACCACGGAAAAATCGGTGTTCGATTCGCTGACTATGAATTATAATAAATAATAATATAATACGGAGTAATCAAGGCATCATGTGCCTGTCATGATAGGAGAATTATCAAACTTGTTGAGTGCTTACTACTTAATAGACGGATCGACCCATATAAAATTAGCACCCCACGTTGGGCGCCAAAGTATCAACAATTATGACAAACCCGTTATATACTTAATTTCTTGCTTCAAAAATGATGGTGGTGATAGGTGATATACCCCTTCAAACTTTAAGATAATCTGTCAGTTAAGGAAACGTATGTTGAAGTAAAGAACCACGGAAAAATCGGTGTTCGATTCGCTGACTATGAATTATAATAAATAATAATATAATACGGAGTAATCAAGGCATCATGTGCCTGTCATGATAGGAGAATTATCAAACTTGTTGAGTGCTTACTACTTAATAGACGGATCGACCCATATAAAATTAGCACCCCACGTTGGGCGCCAAAGTATCAACAATTATGACAAACCCGTTATATACTTAATTTCTTGCTTGAAAAATGATGGTGGTGATAGGTGATATACCCCTTCAAACTTTAAGATAATCTGTCAGTTAAGGAAACGTATGTTGAAGTAAAGAACCACGGAAAAATCGGTGTTCGATTCGCTGACTATGAATTATAATAAATAATAATAGAATACGGAGTAATCAAGGCATCATGTGCCTGTCATGATAGGAGAATTATCAAACTTGTTGAGTGCTTACTACTTAATAGACGGATCGACCCATATAAAATTAGCACCCCACGTTGGGCGCCAAAGTATCAACAATTATGACAAACCCGTTATATACTTAATTTCTTACTTCAAAAATGATGGTGGTGATAGGTGATATACCCCTTCAAACTTTAAGATAATCTGTCAGTTAAGGAAATGTATGTTGAAGTAAAGAACCACGGAAAAATCGGTGTTTGATTCGCTGACAAGAATTATAATAAATAATAATATAATACGGAGTAATCAAGGCATCATGTGCCTGTCATGATAGGAGAATTATCAAAGTTGTTGATCATTCTGATCCTACTGTATTTTGTATGGCGACGCAACCAGAGAAGTGTAATTATTAAATGTTAAAAAAATGTAATAATATCACATCATTTCTTACCTACTCGAGTTTCAAAATGCGGATCTATTCCTTCCACTTTACAACCTATTAAACCTAAACCTCCAGCATGGGCGTCTATCATTGACGTACCTACCGGAGTACCAGGAAGCAAGCCCAGCTCTTTGGCTGAAATCTCCGACAAGCCCAATCCTAAAAAATAAATGTTTAATGACATACTGTAACCCGTTTAAAATAATTCCTACCTACAGTTTCGCCAGGATACTGAACAACGGATCCGATTTTTTTCCAACTATTTTCCGCCAAGTCTCCTAAACCAACTGTATCAAAGTAACTTTTATTCCATGCTTCCACGCCTTCCACGTTCATTTCGTAGGTCCATTTACAAACTAGAGAACAAGACGATCTACAAACCATGTTATCCGATATACAGGGTGCTACAAATTCGAGGTACGAGCATTGGTATCTCGGAAACCGTAATATATACGAAGATAGTTAAATTGGGGGCAAAGTTGCTCCTTAGGATGTTCACCAAGATGCCGTCAAAAAAGTTTTAAAAATTTCAAGGATTGCTGAGTTTTTTGAAAATCAATTTTATTTTTTCCTGTCGTTGTTTTTAGAAAATCAAAAAACTAATTGCACATTCTCATAGCCACTTTATCAGGGCTATCTGTATGGTATTTTTAGATTTTCCAATTAGCTTATAATTTGTGAGATACAGAGGCCCGGGCCTGCATTTTTTATTTAAAGTTTTGAAAGAACTGGATCTCCTGAGTACAATGATATGCTACACTTGATACTTTTTTTGTTTTGGGTACCTTAACAATAACAAAACTAGTTAATTTATTATTTAAAATTATTTCAAGTCAGACTCTGGTTTTTTAAATTATTTAATCTGATTATATTCATCGCAACAATATTGATTAGGGCTAGTTAACATTTAATAAGGAAAATCAAGCCAATTTCAAGATTCAAATAAATAATATCTAGGTCAGCAATTTAAAGATGTTATTTAACTTTTTTTATTGTGAATGTGAAATCTCACTGTGCGATCTAGAATTAGAATTTAGAATTTAGAATAAGTGGGAGGGGGTTAATCTCTGTGACCTTAGAGATCTATTGTGTGCCCCTTTCTTCAGTTATAACTCATCATACAGTCCCAGGACTTCCTACGGAGATCCATGTCCTTCACAGTCGAGGAGCTACGACCCAGGCCGGGTAGACGAAACGGTAGCTTGTGTCGCCTGTTGGGTTTAGAGGTAGGAGGTAGGCTCTCGACCCTTGCAGGAGGTGGTAACTTGTATGCCACTTGCGGAGGATGGTCTCACGCAAGTGTCAGCCACCTCTCCTGTAGTTCTCTTTGGGTTTGGCCCCTTGGAACTTTCATTGTTACTGTTCCCAGTGTCGCTAGGGGGTTTCCCCACAGCTTCACCGGTGATGTTTTTATTACTATTATTACCAGATCTCATAGTGTTCCTATGAGTCGCTAGGGACAGTCGGTCCACTTCTACAGAGCCCCGCATGTAGAAGTAAGGGGTAAAATACAATGGGGTGACCCCCGGTGCCCCAAGGTTGAGGCTGTCCGTAGTCCCGCCCGGTATCGTTATATGTCTTGGTGCAATTCCCTGGCCACGACACTACAGTCAGGGACAAGACGTTGAGTGAGATGCTTCTTAGACCAAGCCAAGTGCTAGGGGGGATTCCCCCCAGCACCTGACCAGGAGCTTCCCCACCAACGACAAGGTCTTGCATCTCCTAGGGAAGACTGTACGATCTAATAATATGCATAATATTAATCGTAGTTATTATAAATAAATCAACTTCTACAAACTAGTTTCTAATGCTGTACATGTCCGAAAGGGTTACCACGGCCACCCTCCCTAATGCACAAATTTATTTTTCGTTCAATCTTATTTATAGCACTTTGAAGATATCTTCTTCTTATAGTTCCGAATGCATTTTGTACTCTGTATTGTAAATGTTGAATTGTATTTTGATTTCACTTTTACAATAAATGAAGTCAATGATGCCTATCAACCCATATAACACACAATATCCGCAGGATATTCATAGAATGTCGGAATGTCCCATTATAAGATCATCTTATAAAGACATCTATAGGATATCCTCCAGATATCCTGAAATCCTGTAGATGTCTCAGAATAGAATGTCCTATGGATATCTCTGTCGTATATCTTGTACATCCAGCTGAGATATCCAAACATGCTCATGTTAATAAAATATCCTAACAATATCGTCTAGATATTTAGGAAAAATAAATAATGTACTACTTTTTATATTACATAAAATACAATAAACCATACAGATAGATATATATTACGTCAAGACAAGAAAACACACTCCCAGTAATACAGAGAATTTAAAACGCCCGCGCAAAAAATTTCCCACAATCCATCTCGACAGTTGTTTGTTTTTGCATCGTGTATAGTCTGTCCAACGAGAAGATCCTTGACAGTGATATATGTGTCTGTCATTTTAATTTCAAAGTAGTTTATTTTATTTTACAAAGAAATAAGTTGGTACAACTGGAACGCATAGCAGGATATATTTAAAATTTGATTGACAAGATGACAAGTGATTACTTCAAAATATTGTGAAAAAACTGTATAAAACTGAAAAATGTAATCGAGTTATTTTATTTAATAAAAACGGTATGTGTTAATACAAAACAAACAAGAACAAGACACTACATACCAAAAAATATAAAAAAACTATTATTTACTTTCAAGCTTTATGAAACTACCCGTTTTTATGATTATATTTATCAATATAACTTAATGTACAAATACAAATTTGTAATATTCACAGGAATAAATAAAACAACATAGGTAAATAAAACAAACTATTTTAATAATAATAACACCTACCAAATTTTATACCTTAAAGGTTGATTAATTAACTTTAATCTTAATTTTTTTTTAAACCAGGACCTTTTGACATTATTTTTCTACATTACTAAAATCCATTATTTACCTCTCGTGTGATGTCGATATTTTACAGCTACTCCAGTTTTTAGTATATGTTTAGTTTGATCCTTCTACCATATACGAGATGCACTTATCTACGACGAAATGGTATACAAAATTTATCGATGGCAACTTCATTGGTGTATAAGACTTTCTGCCTGGACAGCGAGTATTAACCATAAACTGTGCTCTGGGTCTACAGTTAATTTTCACTCGATTTTTCCTCCACTTGACTTCAAAAGACACAAAACACACGTAATAATACGAATCAAAATGCATAATCTTCCAAAACGCAGGGTATTTAACAAAAGTTGACAGAAAATTATAACCTATAATTTGGCAAGACTTTGACAATCATCAAAAATGACAAAAATCTAAAGGCGAGTTCATACGCATCGGTGTTCGTTTGTCGTTCATCGTTCCGTCAAACCAATAAAAATGAAATACGATGTCATTTTTTAAATAAACCGATAAAACTGGTCAAAACAACAAGACACGACTCATGACGGATTTATATTTAAACCCATCCATAGATAACTTAAAAATTATTAGAAACTTTTTTTAGTAAAATAAATAGATTGGTATGGGACGTCATCTGCTTTTCTTCTGTCATCGTCTGTCGAAATCTTACCTGAGAAAAAAAACAGAGTATATTATTCAGTTCTTTGATTTAGTGAAATACGAGGTGAATTCGGTCGTTTGTCGATATTGAATGGGCTTAAAAATGACTGAAACTAATAAAACTGGTTGAGTTTGACTTAGTTTTTTTTGTACTCATAGTTCTAGCCTTAGGTTCTAGCCTTGTTCTAGCAGAAATTCTATCCTAACCTCAACTAATGTCGAAAAACGACGAACGACTCAGGGTCTCACAATGAAAAATTTGTGGCAAAATTATAGGTGAAAATTTGTTGAAAAGCGCTTGTTCTTTATCCCTAAGCCCATTTTCGTGTTTGTTCTATTCGAACAGAAATCCTATTTTTGTGTTTAAATTGTGAGTTTCTGGAATGTGTGGTGTTCGAAATTATACCTGTATCCCATGGTACAAAGAATACAAGGTATGATATTGCGCAGGTTGGTCATTACGTCACAGGTGATAAACGGCACCATTGGTCGGCAAGCTCTGCGCGCCAATTTCAAATTGTCAAACAGATTGTGTCATCTGTGAAATTTGATTGTGTCAAAATGTGAAAATAATTTTTCAAATGTCAAGCTCGATGTCAAAACATAACTTTTGGGGTTATGTCCTAATTCTTCCCTATTTTAGGTCTTTTTTTATTGGTGGCAATTGGACAATATGGATATTTCTTTGTATGGCGTATGACGTCACAGGTGGTATGCGCAAACTTAACGAAATTGGAGCCGCTATCGATCATACCTTGTTTTCTTTGTACCATGCCTGTATCCTGTGTGCTTACTTTGATGTAAACTGTTGCTGCCAGACATAAACTGCTAGACTCCATAAAGGGTAGTATAATCTGGTATAATACCATACGATAGAAAAAAACGGCGTTGGAAATGAAGATTGCTGTTATTTTGTATGTAAAATTATATGGGGAATGTCATCGATCGTAATTTTCTAGTCAATTGAACGCCGTTTTTTTTTCGATGGTACAGTATAAATTGAAAGCTCTTAACTCATAAAAATAAACTTCTAAATTTTAAAGCAAAATTCACTGACATAATATGTAGGTATATTTTAGAGCTGTTAATAAAAATATCCAATGAATAACGTCAAAATGTGGCTAAATAAAACTAAATCGCGAACGTTTTTACTATAAACTAAGGATGAAGTAAGTATTGTCAAATAACAGTCCTCATATAATGTCCTAAAAATATTCTATAATGCTCCCAACATTATCCTTGTATTATCCTATAAATATCCGAAATAATCGAAAAAGGCTTGCCTAGGGATGTCTTGAAGATGACTTTTTTTGTCCCATCTGGATATCCCATAAATATCCTCCTCTGGTTTTTGGATATCCCTAAGATATTTACTTATATATATGGGAGATAGCCCTATTAAAGTGGCTATGAGAATGTGAAATTATGTTTGATTTTCTATAAAATAACGGCAGGAAAAAATAAAATAGATTTTCAAAAAAAAACCATTTTTTTGCAAAAAACTCAACAATCCTTAAAATTAAGTACTATATTATTACCTAGTATCCACACCAGTGGCTCTCCAAGTTAAAAAATCGGGCAAGTCGAAAAAATATCCAGCTTTGTTCCACGTGTCTTTCAAGTAAGTTTTGAGCCACAACAATTTTGGAGTTTCCATTTCGGGAAAAATTTTCCCACCTACATACTTCAAGACTGAATGATTCGTGTTGTTTATGAACTCCGTCTCCTTCATAGCTCGATGATCAAGCCATAAAATGACATTTTGTTCGTTGTTTCCTGTACCAATACAGCTATAAATTTTTTTTTATTATTTGTATTCTTGAATTTACCTGAAGGGCTCACTGTTAAGGGTTGTCCATTTTTATCGACGCATGCTAAGGAACAAGTTGCGTCAAAACCGATGCCTTTAATCTTTGCTGGATTTATGGTCTTTGTCACTTCCTAAAATATATATTAGAGATCACCCTGTATTCTAAATTATAATAATCAGGCAATAAAGAGACCAACAGAGTTATGACGTCGCAGTTCTTATCAATTTGTTTTATACTACTAGGGTGCATATGCCAGTAGTCGGACCAGTGGTCGGATAAAACGTATTTGTTGGGACATAAGCTAAAAATATGGCTTAGTATTGCCTACAAATAATTAAAAACTCAATTCTGCCAATTCTTCGCTTTGTTCTATAACATTTTCTTTGCCTAAATTGTCATCCTGAAACCGTTAAAAATTCCGGAAAATGACTACATGTTTGTGCTTCCTAATTTTTGCCTGTTAAAGATGAAGTTGAGATAGTTTGTAAGGTAAGTTAAAAATTTTATATCTAATCAAATATAGTAATATATAATAATATCTTTTGTAACCAATATGGTATCTAGAACCATCAGTACTACAAGCGATAAAATAACATTTTACAATATATAACTTATAACTTTACGTGTATGTGGAATATTCTTTTATTTTAAACTAGCGTGTACCCGCGACTTCGTTCGCGTCGAATTAATCATTTGTAATGGTGATGATAAAGCAACGCAAGAATTTCCATTAACATACAAACTGGATAAAATTTTCTCACATTTAAGTCAGCATGAGAAAAAACAACCTCCTTATCGAACCTCTACACCCCACAATCAGTCTGTTTGGCAAAAATCAGCTTTAAACGTCAAACAGTTTAAGCAGAATCGTGAATGGTAAATTTTTAAAAAATCTGAAAATATGTAAAACAACATAATAAAATATACACGTTTAAGAGTTTTTCCGAAAAACTCACCGGTTTTTAAATTAAAAATATTCGAATATTTGACGGGTAGTTTCACCCCCTTAGAATTCAAGTTTCGAAAAATCCCTTCTTATCGAACCTCTACACCCTAAAGTCAATCCGTTTTCCAAAAATCAGATTTTTACGTCAAGCGCTTTAAACAGGATCGTGATTAATCAATGACCAAATTTTTTGTAACACCCTGTATACATTTTGAAAAAATCTTAAAATATGTAAAAAAAAACAAAATAAAATATACGTGTTTAAAAAGCGTTTTTTCGGAAACTTGACCGTTTTTAAAATATAAAATATAGTAATATTTGAGGGGTGGTTTCACCCCCTTGGAACTGGAATTTCGAAAAATCCCTTCATATCGCACCTCTACACCCAAGAATCAACCTGTATGACAAAATTGAGCTTCTTACGTTGAGTGGTTTGAGCAGGATCGTGATTAATCAGTGAGTCAGTCACTTAAGGATTTTATATATTAGTAGGTATAGATAACAAAAAAGGATACCTTTGAATATTTTAATTATGCGATTGGTCGCGTTTATCAGGACGTAGCGCTACCGCAGCGATCACTAATTTTCTGCTGAACGCGCCGATTAGTTGTGAGCGCTCTGGGATCAGTCGCCATTTTTTCCATCAGATTTAAAATACGCTACGCTACCGATGCATGAGGATTAAACGTCACATACGCCAAATGTCACAAAATGTTTTGGAAAACGAAAACAAAGCATTTTGTTTAATGTTCTCGGTTGACTAATACCCTCGATTTGTGCCAAAAATGGGTGAAAACAATTTAATATGCATTACTTATGATTTTGATCTAAAAAGCACGTTCAGCAGGACAACCAATCGATGGTACATCGCTCACTGATCAACTCGTCCTGATGAACGCGACCATTGTCAGCATGATTGTCAGACTACTGGAAACATAACTCTTTTGTTTTAGTCTTTTTCTGCAAAATAAAAACACTAAATCACCACAATACACCAAAACACTTTTACTTTTTCACTGGACGCGCGTTTCGCTAACCATGTTAGCATCATCAGCAGATGATTATAAACTAAAGTACAATCTACAAGTTGAGCGTTTATATACTCGCCCAGTGGGCACCGAGTGGGCGTGGCAAAAACTAGCCAACCGAGTCAGAGCCAACTGAGGCGTAACAGTTAGATTTCCCGCCACTAGAGTAGTAGGAACAAAGAACTTGAAGGAATTGGACCGTTGTCTCTGTTCATACTATCTTTACATTTATTAATTCTGATGCTTTCATATGCATCTAATTGCCTGTAATTTGAGACTTGTTTAATTAATTTTAAATTATTAAGATATATACAATGTTCTTTATCAACAATATGTTCGGCAACGCAAGATTTATCCGGTCTACCATATCTTATCTAAGCTAAATGTTCTTTAAATCTAGTTAATATTGATCTTCTAGTTTGCCCAACATATTTCTGATTACAATCTTTACAAGAAATTTCATAAATACCCGACCTTTCAGTGGAGATGTTTTATCCTTTGGATTACCTAATAATTGTTGTAATTTATTATTAGCACTATACACAAGTTTATAATTGACATTCTTAAAAATTCCTTTTAGACCACGGGTTAACTCTCTATCAAACGGTATCGAAAAATATTTAGACGTATTTTTCACCACTTGAAAAGTCGAATTTTCAGAAATCATTAACCTATACCTACGTTTTCTAATTAATTTTTAATAATTCTTTTTCTTTTTCTCCTTCACTAGTTGATAAATTAATTAGAAAACGTAGGTATAGGTTAATGATTTCTGAAAATTCGACTTTTCAAGTGGAGAAAGATACGTCTAAATATTTTTCGATACCGTTTGATAGAGAGTTAATTAGAGTAGATTAGAGTTCCCGTGGTCTAAAAGGAATTTTTAAGAATGTCAATTATAAACTTGTGTATAGTGCTAATAATAAATTACAACAATTATTAGGTAATCCAAAGGATAAAACATCTCCACTGAAAGGTCGGGTATTTATGAAATTTCTTGTAAAGATTGTAATCAGAAATATGTTGGGCAAACTAGAAGATCAATATTAACTAGATTTAAAGAACATTTAGCTCAGATAAGATATGGTAGACCCAATAAATCTTGCGTTGCCGAACATATTGTTGATAAAAAACATTGTATAGATCTTAATAATTTAAAATTAATTAAACAAGTCTCAAATTACAGGCAATTAGATGCATATGAAAGCATCAGAATTAATAAATGTAAAGATAGTATGAACAGAGACAACGGTCCAATTCCTTCAAGTTCTTTGTTCCTACTACTCTAGTGGCGGAAATCTAACACTGGTATTCATAAACGATCGCTGGCGCGCCGCCAGCGGTTCGCCAATCTCCCACGCATATTTGTCATGCAGAGTCGTTCGCCAACAATGACACACATGCGCATTCACTGAAATTTTAGCGGCGTTAGCGATTCGTTGGAGATGGTCAGTACTATCTCCGAGCGACCGCCAGATTAGTAAATAATTTAAATTTTGTTTTATTTTTCATAATAATTCGATTTAACAATGGAACGTGATTTAGATCTATTATATAATGCCCACAGGGATATTTTGGACATAGATTTTCATATACATCGGAGGTAAATTGGTTGCAGAAAACCTTTGAATTTGATATTATTTATTTCGTTGATTATTTTAGGTATATTCGAGATATGGAAAACCCTTTTGAATTTTACAGTGAAATCCAATTTAAAAAACGATTTAGATTTAGGAAAGAGGTGGTGCGTGATATTCTATTACCAATGGTACATGTCCGTGAACCCATGACTAACAGAGGATTGCCGGTACCCACATTGATAGGATTACTTTTAACGTTGCGTTTTTACGCTAGCGGAAGTTTTCAGGTGAAAATTAACAAAATAAAAAAGCCACACTTTTATAATAATATAATTATATGTTTGTAGATTGTCTGTGGAGACTTGAAAGGACTCAGCCAAAGTACTGTAAGCCGAGTTGTGACAAGAATCACCAGAAGACTTGCAGCACACTCTAGAACATATATCACATTTCCACTTAATGAGGATATTCCGGAAATGCAACGGCAATTTAGTACAATTGCTAACTTTCCAAATGTCACAGGGTGTGTCGATTGCACACATATCACTATCAAGAGTCCAGGAGGAGATGTTGCCGAACTGTTCCGAAATAGAAAACGATACTTTTCTATTAACGTACAAGCAACTTCAGGTCCTAATTTACAAATATTAGATATTGTTTCACGATATCCAGGAAGTTACCATGACAGTTACATTTTTCAAAGGAGTTCCTTAAAGGGAAAGTTTCAACGAAGAGAACTTCCTGGATATTTGCTTGGTGATGCGGGATATCCATGTTTACCTTACTTGCTGACTCCATTTAGACAAGTACGTACTCCAGGAGAAAGGCGATACAACCAAGCACATATTCAGACAAGAAATACCGTAGAACGATTATTTGGTGTTTTAAAGCGCCGATTTCCTTGTTTGAGTCGGGGACTTGCTACCAAGATCTCCACTTCCTGTTATATTATCGTAGCTTGTGCTATTCTTCATAATATTTCCATTACTTACCGTGACATCATAGACGAACCTCTACAGATCGACGATGATGTTCCAGAAATTATTTTTCGTGAAGGAAATTTAGGTTTAGGTAATGTGATGAGAAACCATATAGTTCATAATTATTTTGATTAAAAATCTATATCTACTATTAGGTACATACTATTGAAAATAAAACTATTACTTGTTAATCATTTATTAATTATTAAATTAATCGTTTATTTATTCATCTCTACTTTTCTTCCATTTTGCCTCTTCTTGTAACATTACGAACTTGGCAGCCGCCGCCTTATATTTCGCCTCCTCCATACGGATATCATGAAGTTCTTTCATATATGATTCTTCCTTTTCAACTAGGCCTAACCTTGCCTTGGTCAACTGATCAAGATGATCTTCCTTTTTTTTAGGGGGGCGCGAGACTGTGACAATAATTAATTTAAAAATATTTGCTAGGTCCTATAATCGTAGAATATTACCTTTAACAGCACTTGGGTTTAATGGAGTGGATAATGTTGGGGTTTCTGGCACTAAGACGTAAGAGGTGACTGATACCGTTGAAGCAGTTGCCTCTTCTGATGACCGTACAACTGAAACAAATAAAAATAGCAATTGTTTTGATGATTAACAAAGTATAGAAAGTTTACCTTCTGTATTTTTTAAATTTATGCCATCAGAATCATCTTCAATATTAACTTCATAATCGAGATGAGGTATCAGGGCATCTACTTCGGGTTGTGAATAAGGTGGTAGTGGTTTAGACGGCCCGCCTCCTGTGGCCATCACTTCACGCCTCTCTTCAGCTAACGCACTTTTCCTGCTTCTTTTTATTTTATCCCATAATCTTTTTAACTGGATTACTGTTCTCTAAAATAAACAGAATTTTTTAAATGTAGCTACTAAAAATATTTCTTTCTATTTCCTGTTTAAAAGATATATAATCTACTTTAATGCATAATTATCTCAAACCATAATAATAAATCCTATATCAAAGAATATTATAGCTACACAACATAAATTTTATATTTACCTTTTCTGTAGCTACCTCATTATACTCTAACGTAATTTTATCCCATGCTTTTTTCTTCTTCTCAATATTATAGGAATCAGTCCTTTTATCTTCTATAATAGGATAGTTTATCAACATTTTAATAAATTGTTCCTTATCACTTGCCGAATATTTTACCGCCATTGCAAAAAGACAACAAACAATAATAACAAGAAAAACGTTTTGGGATCAGTACCGCGCTCTGGTTTAAAAATCGTCGCGTGCCGTGGACGGAAAACACATAAACAAATTAAATGCGCTTGCTCAAATCGCCACACGAGTCATAGCGAGTTGCCAGCGCGGCGACGGCGAGGATATCGTCTATGCATTCAAAATTGATATCGTTCGCTTCGCCGAAAGTTCGCTGGCGGTGCGACTGGGAGATTTTTCAACGCCTCGCCGGCGAATGACTATGAATACGGGTGTAACTGTTACGCTCAGTTGGCTCTGACTCGGTTGGCTAGTTTTTGCCACGCCCACTCGGTGCCCACTGGGCGAGTATATAAACGCTCAACTTGTAGATTGTACTTTAGTTTATAATCATCTGCTGATGATGCTAACATGGTTAGCGAAACGCGCGTCCAGTGAAAAAGTAAAAGTGTTTTGGTGTATTGTGGTGATTTAGTGTTTTTATTTTGCTGTTTAACACCAAAGGTTCCAACCCTCAACTGTAGTCTTTTTCTGGATAAATGATATGTAATATCTACTCTATTTTTCGTTTGAAATATAATAAAACATGAGTTTTTGGTAGTGTTAAGTGGTCGGACAGCAAAAACTCAACACAAACGCAGATCAAAGGAAATAAAAGTTGTCCGACCACTGGTCAACGCTAAATGCTAAATTTAATATATTTGAGAGGTCGAACAGTAGCCCCTTTTCGACGCATATTGCAGAGTTTAGACTGATTTTTTATGAGATTTTAGTTATTTTCAAGCATGAAGCCTAAAGTAAAAGGGAGTTTTCATCAATACAATATAGATGCATTAGAAAAAACTGTCCAAATTGTCCAAGAAGAGGGAACATCGCGTAAAACATGCACTCAGTACAGGATTCCAAGTCAACAGTACGCAGGACCATATTAAAGACAAATAAGCGACGTTTGCAAACGAATGGAACCAGAACTTGTTTTAACCAGATAAATTGAAAAAAAAAATTGTTACCTGGATTGAAAACTTAGCCGTTTGCAGATTTCCAAGACAAAAAAAACAGGTGTTACTTAATACAGTTGAGAAAAAATGTATCAAGAAGAAGGAAAATTAAAAACGCTGTTTACTAATGGAAGCACGGTTTTATGAACCGTGTCGATATCGTTTAAAGATGATTTTTTCATATAGATAAAATCTAAAGGTGCGTATTCATTATCCGAACGAACGAACGAACGAATGAAAGTGCGGTTTCGAGTCGGTACATCAAAGGCGTTCGCCAACAAATGCCTCCGGTCTCGTGCGGTTCTATCGTACGGTCCCCGTCCATACCACTAGCGAACATTCGTTCGTTCGTTCGTGCGGATAATGAATACGCACCTTAACATATATAAAATGCTAATGTTTATCTGTGTGTCGTCTCTACTGAAGTAACGACTTGCTCTAAAAAAGTTACTTTTTTTACTAAAAGATAGCTAATTGGCTCTTCTAAAAACTGCCGTCGCCGGATTTTTGTTTTTCATTTAATAAAAAAAAATAAAAAGTATTTTTTTCCGCATGTCGTGGCGGATGCGCCAGGCTTCAACTAGTACAACAATTAACGGTACAAAATGTTCAAGATTAAATTTGCTTTAAAATTATACTTATATTAGGTTTGTTCCACGCACAACCCCGCTGAGATCCGTTCAGGAACGGTTCCGTTCATGCGCATAGGGCTAAAAGCGTTCCAACCTTGATGGGGATCGTTCTCGAACGATTCTCTTTGCGTTCCAACCAATTTTCTGATCGTTATTAGAACTTCAACAAACGTTTTAGTTTCAACCGGTTTCAACAAAAAAAAACGAATAGTAAACCAAGTGAAACTTACCAAAATTATGGTTTGTGTCCATTATTTATTAATGTAGGTAGTAATTTACCACTTTTTACAGTTTCCACTGTTCTATACAATTAATAAGAATATCTGTGAAGAATATTATAAAGGTTTGTTTTGTTTACATCTTACATCAAACAAAAAGTGAGGTTATAGTAGTAGTTTGAGAAGAGGAAATTAATCTCTCTTCATTGACTTGGGTCCTTTTCGTCCCATTAGCCAGCTCATTATTTAGATTCCCAATCGTCTGGTTCCGAATAGACCGACAGGATTTCCAATATGGCCAAAGTGAGGTTATTTTAACCGGTGTTTTGACAAGACAGATTAGAAACGGTTCCGAAACTGTTCCAACTGATTGTCAATCTAGAATCGTTCAAAAACAGTGCCGAATTAACGCATGCGGATAAGACTAGTCCCAATGATTTCAGAACGGTTCCAGAACCGTTCTAAAACTTGGGGTTGGAACAAACCTATTAACAACGGGACTGTGCAGCAGGGGGGTGACAGTGAAATAGGAAAATTGGAAACAGTCATTAGTGTCATTCCTGTCATTCTCCTCACGACAAGTATGGCCGCCTAGACAAGGACAGCATTGTTTTTGTCTAACTATTGTCTAACTTCACAGTTTATAATTGACAGATTTCAGTTTCAGAGACAACTTCAGATTTGTTCTGTGCGAACAGCCAAATCCCCTACTTTTTCTTTTGATCTAATATACCACTAATTTTAACTCCTACGTAATACCGAATAAAGAAGAAAACGAACAGGGAATTAATAACCAAAGATATCTTTTAATATTTTTGGTTTTGTTCTTTTTAATGTTTTAATGTTTTGTAATTTTGATTCTTGGGCCTAACCCGTTCCTCCATCAGCTCTTCTCGGTCTGTCTGTATCCGAAAATCCGGACGCCTCAGATTCTTCGGAAGATTCAAAATCGCTCATTTCATTTCTTTATTTTTTGAAGAATAAAACACTAAACAAAAACAACACACGTTTTGTAGGTTAAGTTTACCAATTAATGACGTCGGGTCGCAATACGCATGCGCCGGACACTTTACTTGCAAAAGATCCGCGAACAGGTCTGACTGTCAGCTAACAATCAGAATTTTCTGTGCGAACAGCGTACTGTTGGTTGGAAACCAATCAAAAATTTCTGTGCGAACGCGTTTTACCCTATTGCGCATGATTATCGTTGGAAATATGTTTCTTATATAAGAAACCTAAAGTGTCCGACTTATGATAACTAACCGGCCGGACACTGGTAAGTACTGTCCGACTACTGACAAAACAGCACTTTTATCACTTGAAAAAATAATCAAAATTATTGGTAGGTTTATGAAAAAAACTGTTATATTTAACGTGAACCCCAATAACCACACTATTGACTATATATTTCATAAAATTTAATTTCCATGCTATCAATAAAGAAAGTTTAATCAACAATTTAAACTCAGCTTTTGGATTTATTGCAGTAAACCTACCTTAACACATTTGGAAATCGCTTCCCATATATTATCGGTTGATTGTTCGTAAAAGTCAGGCTGTATATTCCATGTTTTTGTGTTTTCCACATGACTGCTCACAATTTTTCCAAAATCAGTTACTAAAGCTGCCCTCACACTACCTGTTCCGACATCCACTCCAACAAAGTAAGCCTGTGACGAAGACATTTATACAGACTAGGCTGATAAAATAACCAATCAATAATAGTAAAGTAATCCTCGCTTGAACAAATAATAACTAATATTGATCCAAGGCCGACTTTCTCGAGTTGCTTGTTAACAAAAACCTAATCTAAAAATTGAGCGCAGCACGCAAAATATTTACTACTTTATTATAATCTCTTATTGTTGATAAACATAGTTACGTTATTTACTGATAACCTCTGCAGCTTTGCTTTACTGTGGCTTTAATATAATTTGTAGAAAGAGAATTAGATTACATTAATGATAAAAACACTCTAGACTCTAGGGGAGGGATTCCATTTCAGAGAAAAAAATATAGCATTAGCAACAAAAACATTTATAGAAAAATATAGCATATACCTATTACCAAAAAGTTGGTCTTGCAGCGATTGTCGGTACACATTTAAAAAACTTAATATTATTTTTTACATGGAATTTTGCAACTAGCTGTCAGTTTGAAATACCGATATATTCAAAATAATACAATTTAGGGCATTCAACGCCCGCGTATAAAATGTATTTTTAATGTGGTACTTCATTATACCACAAGTCTTTATTTAAGTAGTAGTAAGCTTTAAATATATAAAATCACAATAAAAATATTTAAAAATTGTTTAATTTTTATTAAACACGGAGAACAGTTACACACAGTACATACAAATATTAGACATATTGTATAGTTAACTATTTATACTTCTTGAGGTATATCTGGTTGCATAATGCTCTAAACATCTGTTTTCACAACAAATGCGTCAGTTTCTGTCATCTTCTCTGCTTCAGTAGAAAAAAATTGGAAAATTAGTTCATTTTTCGATTTGTATGCGCACTGTCCTTCGATTTTGATGTTTTGATCCGATTTTTTCTTTTGACACTGACGTTCTTACAAATTAAGAAATTTGTAGGATTGTCCCGTTATGTGTGTATTGTTAGTAATTAAATGCATAGTGAATTCATGAAGGTATAATTTGAATCGATAGCCTGAATTGTCTTCGGTAAGTTATTTTTGTCTTCCATCAAAGAAAAAACGTTAGGTGGGGCTCGACGTACATGGCATGTGAATAAAATGTACTGCTTTCGAATTAATTAGCAGTGTATTTTTTAATTAATTTCCCATATTTAGTAATTATTTCACTGAGTGTCTAAAAGTCTTAAAGTTATATTAAACCAGTAAGTACATCTAAGCACCTAGTAATTAGGTCTTTATTTGTATCTTTTGTTTGTTAATAATGGTCATGAGTTTGTTTATATTATGAAATGAATATCAGCATTATAAAAGGTCTTATTCTTTGAGAGATATATTTTAAGTTGAAAACATAAATCTGTCAAATCCTAATTTCTATTTCAAAATTACTCGAGAAGTTCTAAAATTAAACTTTATGTTTCCTCTTCCTTGTGTATCTTTCGAAATAGTTTTTATATTTATGAGAAACTCAGAAACATATATGCCATGAATATCATTTATAGTTGGGAAATTATTTCAAAAGAAGTTTATTTATATTGAGTATTTTTAACTCAAGACAGTGTGAGTGTGGTAATATTTTTTTTGTCTCCAAATAAATGTTTCTTGTATGCTTGTAGTTTCTAGGTAAATATAGTCCTAAATTACTAGTAGTAACATTAATATTTCTAATGTGCATAAGTAGGCTGGTCTATATTAATTTGCCCTTGTGTAAATAGTTAAAAATAGTGAATGTATGCAATGTGTGGTCTAAATATCTCGCATATTTATGTTTAAATATAAACTAGAATGAGCGTTGCAAATTTTACATAGGTATTGTAATAATATGTAACTAACTGTATATTACTTTTGATACATATATGTATGTATAGAATGTTAATTTGTAAAACACATGTAAAAGTTTATGCTTAAACAAATAAAATTATGCATTGTGAAAGTTCTGTCTACTTGAATGCTCATATTGGTAATATGTTTTAATATGAAAAAATAGTTCCTCTATTGGGAAAGTCTTATTTAAATACAGTTTCTAATAATTAAAATATATGAAATATAGTAATAAGGATCTGTAATACCATCACCACTTTTTAATATAGTCCTGCATGTACATATAGTCGCATATTAGTTTAGTTTAAAATGACATAATTCATATTGTTTTCATGATTTGCCCTTGACTTTTAAGATGTATTCAATCATGCAGTAAAATCTCTACATCTACAGTATAGTTTTAAATTCAGTCATTGTTTTAAATTATCTACATATCAAGTTCATGTAAAAGGTGTGTATACCTAATCAAAAATCAAGAACTATACAGGGTTGTTCACCACCTACGACACGGAGTATTGTAGCTAAACGATTAGATTTTTACAAATTGTAAGTTTTGGATTTGTTGAAGAACTATTAGAGATACCATTTAAAAATAATTTTACAAGATACAGAGTGTCCCAAATAAGTAAAAAATATTATAGTTGTATTTTTTTAATGGAACGCCCTGTATATTATTCTATTTTTAGATTCTATGGTTGAAATAAAGGTAAATTTGATTAAGGTTTATCACACTTAAACTTTACCGTTTTTGAAATATTTTCAATTTTGTAAAATTGCAGTAAAAAATTTAAGGCTTTATTTCTCCAAGGGTATTAAAGGTTTTAATACTAAATATTTACTGAATATTATTTATTGATCAGATATTGTGTTGCAATAATAAACATTTTACTATCTTATACAGAGTGTCCAAAAATTTATATTAAATAATTACTAACTTTAAACGGCAATAACTTGTTTAATTTAAATGGAACACCCTGTATAGTTTTCGTAAATCAGATGCACAATTTAATTGTCTATCAAATTTTATTATACCATTTTTTCATATCTCTTCAAGTTTTCGTAGAAAATCCATTTTCTTATAATTTAGACTTCATTTATCACTATACCCATGGAATATTGACATTTCAGATTTTTTAAAAAAACTATTTAAACCTTTGTAAAAGATTATACCAATTAAATATTCCACCATTATTTCCGACCAAAAATTAGTTAATTACATACTTTTAAATTGTTTTAATTAATAAATTATTCTAAATAAATGTGGATTTGGCTTAGAAATCAATATAATAATAAGTTATGGAAATGAACGTCTCTGTTTTTATAAATAAGCATTTGTCAAAAAACTAAAAAAAATTTATAAGGTGTTATTTTTTACCACACTGTCTAATACACACACAAAATTCAATTTTTTAGTATTTGGAGTAATTATTATTAATCAACGTAAACAGTCAATTAATGTAGTTTGAATACTGGGATCATATTAATTGGTTCTCTTTAACAAAAAATATTTAAACGGTTTTTTTTATTTTATAATGAAATAAGCGAACTATATCGACAATATTAATATCTGTACTCTTTGAAAATTTGTTACACCTTTAAAAATAATCTAAAATGTCAATATTCCATGGGTTTGATTGCATTTTCTACGAAAACTTGAAGAGATGGGTAAAAAATGGTATAATACAATTTGATAGACATTTACATTGTGCATCTGATTCACGTAAAATACACAGGGTGTTCCATTTAAATTAAACAGGTTATTGCCGTTTAAAGCTAGTAATTATTTAATATACATTTTTGGGCACTCTGTATAAGGTAGTATACATTTTATTATCACAACACAATATCTGATCAATAAATAATTTTCAGTAAATATTTAGTATTAAAATCTTTGATACCCTTCGAGAAATGAAGCTTTAAAATTTTTACTGCAATTTCACAAAATTGAAAATATTTCAAAAACGGTAAGGTTTAAGTGTGATAAACCTTAATCAAATTTACCTTTATTTTAATCGTAGAATCTAAAAATATAATAATATACAGGGTGTTCCGTTTAAAAAAAATACAACTATAATATTTTTTATTTATTTGGGACACACTGTATCTTGTAAAAATATTTTTAAATTGTAGCTCTAATAGTCCTTGAACGAACCCAAAACTTACAATTTGTAAAAATCTAATCGTTTAGCTACAATACTCCGTGTCGTATGTGCTGAACAACCCTGTATACGATAGTAATTACCTACTAATAAATAGCATTGTGTAGACATAATGATATTTGTGTCAGTAAATAAATGAGTTAAGTAGAAAAATTTAACAGGAGTAAAAACAATAAATGTATACAGACTGCCTAATCCCAATTGGGACATTAATTTATTGAAAAAAGATAAAATATAACAATAAGATTAGTACGTTTTTGAGTTGAAGCTTGAAACAATTTTACTAATTTAATTTTTTTTAAATAATTACTTATATAATTAAATTTGCAGAATCTTATTACTATGGACCACATCTCCTTACTAGACCCCTACGAACAGCAGCTTTTGAAAGTATTCAACAGTCACGATATCGATAATTTGGGAAGCTTGGATAGCGATGGCTTGACGCAGCTTTGCCAAACATTACAGCTCGAGGAGCAGACTTTTGAGCTTTTGAAATGTCTCCTGAGCGACAAAAAACAGCGCGCGAGCTTTGGAGAATTCAAGGACGCATTGTTGGCTATGCTAGGTGAGATTTTATTTCAGTTTTATTCCTGTGCAATGTGAAAGTGCTTGTGCCATTTACCGGTTAAACATGGTTCAATCTAATTGCGTGAATTTGTAGGAAGAATGCAGTGCTCGAAAAACACATCTGACAGTCCAGTAAAGGATAAAAAGCCAGCGGAAAAGAGTTCTCCCGATAGGGAAGTATCCCCGAAATTTGTTTATGGTAGTAAAAAATACGGCAGACGCAGCAGGTAAATCAAGGAATAATTTAAAAAAAACAGGCTGCAAATGTATAATTGCGATAAAATTCAAGAAGGATTTTTTTAAATAAGGGTTTATTTGCTATAACACCGATTAATTTTGAAATCAGGAATTCTAGTGTGAAACTGATATTTTAGAAACATTTTTGTCTCTACCATAGACTTAAAATAAAATATAGACTGAGCATCTCATTCATAAATAGCTGGAACATGCGGTCAGACAATGTCTTGTTATTGTTGTGTTATTGTTTTAGGTTATAACGAGTGCGACACGAGCGATAGATAGGTTGTCTCTGTCGTAACGGTCGTTCCACTCTGACGAGAAACGAACACTGTCTTTCGTTTCTCAAGTACACCTGAACTCTCCGTATCATAGCCGGGTAATTTTTTTATTTTAATGAAGCTATAAGTAAATTAAAAATATATCGTATTTAAACGTTTTTATATTTTATTAAGATTTAGGACAGGTTTTTTACATAAAAGTTTAGAAAAAACGTCTTAGAGTCCGAAAAGGATAAACATAATAAAATACACGTTATAGAAGAAATTTTATAATCGAAATTACGTAATTTTTGAAATTAATAATAAATTATTAATTTTAGTCAAACATTTACAACCCCTAATATTAATCAAAACCGGATCTATTCCACAGATATAATAGAATCGGCGACAGGGAGAGAAAAAAAAATGATTGTTGTAATTTTTTTTCTAGTTAAGTGATGTCTTATTATGTAAATTAGAGAAAACATAAATCTGTTCCATTAAAGCAAGGAAGGTGATAGGAAGTGGATAAAATAAAAACTACATTTATTTAACTCGGTACTGTCTTTATTATACCGGGTGCGGCTCAAAAGTGGCTCATCCCCATAATTTTTTTATATTTTCAAATAAAAAAACAAGATTTAGTATGTTAGTATATGAAATAAATTAGGATTGATTGACGCATTCAATTGTTTTTGGTCACTTCCTGTGTCACCGGAAATGACTATAACTTTTAATTTTTAAACGGCACCCTCGGTATATTTCTACTTTATTCGATAGAAAATGACACTCTGAATAGAATGACATATCATATGTCAACTTTTGACATTTTCGCATATGGTTTAATTGTAATAGTAACACGCGGTTCATAACGACAATTTGACTCGAAATACCAAGTGTGTGGTATCAATATATTCATAAAAAAATGCTTTTTCCATATATGCTAATGAGTCACCCTTGTTCCATTTGAATAAATTGACATATGATTAAAAATACGATTTGTACATCTTTTAACCGGCCTAGACAAGATATGAAACCCATTAGTCGATCAAAACTATTTTTCCAAGGCTCCTTGATTAAAACTTAGTGTTTTTAACAACACCATGGCACCCTGGATTGACATTTAAAATACGATTTGTTTTTAAGCGATAATGTCAAAAGTTGACATATGATATGTCATTCTATTCAGAGTGTCATTTTTATCGAATAAAGTAGCAATATACCGAGAGTGCCTTTAAAAATCAAAAGATGTAATCATTACCGATGAAACACGAAGAAACCAAAAACATCTGAATACGTCAATCAATCCTAATTTATGTCATATACCTACTACCATACAAATCTGTTTTTCTATCTGAGAAAATAAAAAAGTTATAGGGGTGAGTCACTTTTGACACACACCCGGTATGAGACACACCCCCTATCATTTTAAAATTCTTGTATGTTATTTTAGATTCTGAAGATAATTTTAGAATAAACCGGAATATATTTTTAATAAAAACATTATTAATTATTAACAGGGTTATAATAATTATGATTTTGTTACAAAAACCTTTATATAAATGATTATGTAAGACAAAAAATTCAGATTTTACATTTTACTAAAATATTATCTAAATAAGCGCCTTTTTACAACAACGCCACTGACCCCTAATGGGTAAATTGAGAGTTGCCTACCGGTCGAAAGTCGTTTCAAGACTTAAATGGATTATTTAAGTCAAATTTCTTGCAAATTTGGCAATGGCGAACCATATTTTAAAGTTCTTGAACAGAAAAAGTAAATAAAATAAACACTTAAGGACTACAAGCTAAGAAAATGCGTTAATACAGCCGGGGACATAGCGGCAACAAAGCTTTACCGCACACGTGCGACGCGTACTACAAGGTAATATATGAATGAAGAGGCGACCTCGCCTCTAATCGGTGTTGCCATATTGTAAAGAACTTATCCTTTTTAAATAGTACCCGACTTATAATTTAGTCGTATAGGAACTATTTAATACATCTATGGAATATTAAAACCTACTTTATTAAAATGTAGTATTAATATCTCAATATATGTGTATAACAAGAAAAAAAATATTGATAATATTAAAGACGTGACAACATAGGCTGGATGAGGAAGGCTCGGTCGACTGTACCCAGAAGTAAACATGTGTACAAAAAAGATTGTTTGACCGCGTATAGATGTAAATAGTGTAGTCTATATTTTATTTCTATAAGTCTATGTATTATGTATTTGTATGTATTTCTATAAGTCTATATATTCTTTAAGTCTATGGTCTCTACACATCATTATCTACATGTATACTGATTGATACAGGGTGCGTCTCAAAAGTGGATTACCCGCTATAACTTTTTTATTTTTTCAGATAGAAAAAACGAGATTTAGTATGTTAGTATATTACAGTTGAGGGTTGGAACCTTTGGTGTTACACAGCAAAATAAAACACTAAATCACCACAATACACCAAAACACTTTTTACACATAACGGTGTAAAAGTAAAAGTGTTTTGGTGTATTGTGGTGATTTAGTGTTTTATTTTGTTGATGTTGGTATATAACATAAATTAGGATTGATTGACGTATTCAATTGTTTTTGGTCAGTTCCTGTTTTACCAGAAATGACTACTTTATTTGATAGAAAATGTCACTCTGAATAGAATGACATATCATATGTCAACTTTTGACATTTTCGCATATGGTTTATTTGAAATTATAACATGCGGTTCATAACGAAAATTGGACTAAAAATACTATGTGTGTGGTATCAAATTATTTGTAAAAAATATTTTTTCCAAATATTCTAATGAGCCACCTTTGTTCAATTTGAAAAAATTGAGATATGATTAAAAATACGATTTAGGCATCTTTTAACCGACCAGGACATAAAAACATTAGATGATCAAATCTATTTTTCCAAGGCCCCTTGATTAAAAATTAGTGTTGTTAACACAGCCATGGCACTCTAGATTGAAATTTAAAATACGATTTTTGCGAGAAGTCAAATTTTTGCGAAGAAGCGAGAATGTCAAAAGTTGTCAATTTGATTCAGGATATCATTTTCTATTGAATAAAGTAAAAAAATACTGAGGGTATCATTGAAAAATCAAAAGTTGTAGTCATATCCGGTGAAACAGGAAGTGACCAAAAACAATTGAATACGTCAATTAATTCTAATTTAGGTTATATACTACCATACCAAGTCTCATTTTTTTATCTGAAAAAATAAAAAAGTTATAGGGGGTGAGCCACTTTTGAGACGCACCCGGTATTCTGATTTTGGCTCACTCTATCGGGTGGTTTTCAAAAGTGGTTCACCTCTATAACTTTTTTATTTTTTAAGACAAAAAAAAAACGAGATTTGGTATGTTATATGGTTAGTATGACATAAATCATGATTGATTGACTTGTCTCAATCAAGTCGAAATTTCACGTCCTTCCTTCACCAGAAATGACTACAGCTTTTGATATTTTAATGCTATCCTCGGTATTTTTTACTTTATTTGATAGAAAATGATATTCTGAATAGAATGACATATCATATTCAGTAGCTACACCCCACTATCGCTCCCGCCAGGCTAAAAATTGAGGTATTGGATCAGAAAGTTGCGGGGGAGCCTAAAATTTCTAGTTACGCCACTGATCATATGTCACCTTTTTTGACCTATTGAAATTTAAAATATTTGTTTTAAGCTTTGAATAGGAAGACTAAGGAAGGAGCATATCAAAAATCTTAGGTCCACCGCGATGGGCCTCAAATATGGCCGATTTAAATTCCGGTTTATCAGTGCCGTTCTAATTTTATTTAAAAAATGTAAAACTCTCATGTAGGGTAGACGTGGGGTAGACTCAATTTTTTTTTATTTTACGTTGTGAAAAAATGTTGGTAGTTATTAAAATTGTTATAAAAATATAAAATTCTAATAAAAATAGTTATAATAATTATTTATAACCATAAACATCCGATACGCTACTGAAGTAGGTAAGTCAAATTGACGTATCTAAATTCTTTGACATCTAATCTTTGACAAGTAGTAAATAAAAGCAAAAATGCAAGAAAAAATATATTATTAGTTAATTTAAGTGAATTTCATAAATGATCGGTTTACTACACGTATGTATATTATATAATCATTTACTAGCGAAAAGTTGTTCCATTATTTCACACATTTTTGCCGAGATCTACCGCACGCTACACAACCAACTATTTTAGTCTTTTTCGATAAATCGCGATAGTGTCACTGTTAATTTAAGTTCTGCCACAATTTCCATCTAGATTTACTACCTTTATACAACTGTCGGTAGTAGAATAAATAATAAATAACATAAAATAAGCTTCGTAAAGACTGACAAATGCACAAAATTTTAAGTGTCAAATGAATCGTCAAATAGAACTGTCAAGGATCCCCACTCTAGAGTGCTTTTTCCGCCCACCATGCATGAATACATGGATAGCATTATGCTCCTTCCTTAGTCTTCTTATTCAAAGGTGCGCGCTAAAAAAATACACTTCAAAAGTACATGTTAAAAGAATGTTTTGCGCGGCGCAGCCGGTGTGAACGCACCTTTAGAATGCAATCATTTTCCGAATTTTATTAATTTGCACCCTATATATTTCGATATTAAGTATATTATTCATATTTAAAAATATATATTAGACCTAGAACTGAAGACATCAACTCCATTTTTAACGAGGAAAACGAAAATTCGCCTACAAAAGCAAACGG